AGATTTTTTTGATCGAGTTAACTTTAGAATCTGTGAGCGAAATGTCGTTTTTACGCGTGCAGTACTCTTAAGATCTAGTGCTTAATTCTTATTTCCAGTTACTTTACAATTCCTTGTAAATACTAATGAGAATTTGGTATGATCTCATCGTTACACCTTAAAGCTGATAGGTTAAGGTTTTCTCATCGGTGATTGTTGGAGATTGTATCGAAATCGTAAAGAGATTATGCTTGTTGATCACATCTGTGAGTTAAAGAGTCAACGCATTTTGATATCTTGTGGCAATTGATCAAAGATGTTCGTAATTCTTGTGTAATGTAATTAAAACATGTTTACAAAGTTTTACTTTGGTAACGTTGTCAATTATTATAATAATCCCTTTTTGCACCAATCGACGGAGACCTATATATAGATAGCTCAAGGGAACGACACTATCTGTGTATTCCATATCTCAAATCATACACCTGGAATAACAAATAACGAAATATGCAGGATCTGATTATGAACAACAAATCACACTTACCCTCAGCTCTTCTAAAAAAATTTGTCCGCGAATGAATCAAATTACAACCGCTGGAAGATGAAAACAAGCGAGCATTAGTTATGCAGAGACATCATTTTTTCTTTAAAATGAATTGAAGACATTCCGGCGTATTTTAGTGTCCTGATCGTGTGACAACAATGAAACAAAAAGCTGGAAAATGAAATGAATATTTGCGCGCGAAATATTTAACAAATGCGAACAGCTTTGTTGAGAAGACAGAAATAATTACACAGAGTAAAAATGTAAAATAGTCAAATTTTGTTGCATGTCATGGCTAAAGCTTGAACGACTTCTTTTCGGTGGTAACATATTTTTTAAAACAGTATTCGCTCGCTTAAATTTCATGTCCATGCGTGACATTAGTAGAAACTTTGACTTAACAACTCGTTGAACTCAGTTGCCACGCAACAATGCGTGACAAGTCACAAGAAAATTATGACATAAAAAATATTAAAATAAAGCAGAAGAGAAAAATATAGCCGACTTGTCGCCTTTGAAAACCTTACTACTTCACACTGTGTTGATCAAGAATTCCCCCGTTGGCCGAATCTGAATCTAGGATAACTTCAATATGTTTGATAAATGCGAATCACAATCAACATGTCGTGTGTGACATGTTACTTGTGATGTTATGTGACACTTTTCAACTTGAAATGCGTTTCACGAGTTTTTGACATCTCACAGTCAAGAGAGTAAAAGAACAAAATTCCCTTTAGAATGATAGACGAAATAATTCTACTCGGCTGGGCCTCTTAGATTTAATCTGTTCTTCATCCGCTACTACAGTCACTTCGGCGTTGACTTGAATGTTAAGAATTGTAATCACAGTAAAGTTAGCGGGCTTAGACTTTTTCGTTCTGTTTAAAATTATATATTGTAATGCTGGAATGGCACTGAACATACTTTTCAATGTATAATGAATCATAAATCATACTTACGCTTAAAATCCTCTGAATGATCTCTTGTTTACAAATGAATCACACCACAACCGTTGGGAGATAAATCCAAGCTTAGAATAGCGATGCAGTACGGATACTTGATATTTCTGGAGATGAAACATTTTGTTTTGTTTCGATGCTATGACTAATGAAGCTAAAAGCTAGAAACTGAAATGGTATTTTCTGCTCAACATTGGTAGTGCTGATAGCTACATTAAAGAGAACAATAAACCTGATCGGTTACTCAGAAAAAAAAAAAAAAAGAAACCTAATGGTCATCTCAAACTAATTTCATTACATTAAATCGTTTCCATTGTAAACTTTTTTTTTTTGTGGCGTAATTCAGAAAAAAGCTCTTATATGATACGCAAGATAAAATAATCATATTGCCATACATATTTTTTTGTTCATAAAATAAAACATTTCGTTTTCCAACCTTCTCGTAGATGACTCATAGCACCAAGCTCCCGCACGTTTGTTTACAGCGTTATATATATTTTATTTTGATCTGTTGGGTAACAATTTTATAACATAGCTAGCAGAGCCGCGCAATCAAATTCAGTATACGTAAGCGTGCTCAAAATCCCGATAGTGCACGCTGATAGCGTGAGCAAATCGCTTCGCCAGAAATTTTTTTTTCGCGCGAGCAGCCATTGTTAGCGCAGGGGAAAATAATTTATTACGCGACAATAATGGATACAAACAGAGACTCGGCCCACCAGTCCCAAAACGAAGACAATTTTCCGACCTTTTCCCTTGGGCTAGAGTTCTTAAATGAGGCAGAAAAAGAGAAAAACAACGGAAAAGGAGACTCGGCATCAGCGCCGTCACGATTCATGATTACCGCGAACAATCACTTCTGATATTGTTGTCCGTTTTTCACGTCGGATTTGATGCAAAATTCCACCGGCTATGTTATAAAACAATTGGTTCATGCTTCTAGCTGTGCACTATCGAGTTATGTAGCACGTGGGAAGTTTGTTGCCTCGGGCAACTCTTACGCTTCTTTCGTGCTCTCCAAACTTCCCACGTGCTCCATAACTCGATAGTGCACGCTAAAGCATGAACCAATTGTCAATTAACGCTGGAACACGTGGGTTCTATTTTTAAGCCATTTTGATACTGAGGATTTTTATTTCAACGTAGAAATTCCACTTTGATTGAATCTCCATCATTTCCTCCCCGAGTTCTCCGTTTGATCTATAAAAACAATTTGATAAAAGCTTTATAAGATACATTTTCCGTACAAAGTTTACAATTTGAGTATGTTACATCTTTGTTAAGCTTATCTTTCACAGGAGTGATCATTTGACAAATTCTCCCCAAAATTATAATTCACTGTTACGCAGATAGGTGTTGAGCATTATTATTTTGTTGAATGAAATATGTCTTGATAGAACACCAGACTCTTATTAAGAGGTTCTTATGGGATTAACTGCTGGCCGTAATTCCCATAAAACGGTAAAAAAGATGTCGCCGCTGGCCGTAAAAATTGACCAATTTAACTGTTAGTTAAAAAAAAAACTTAACACTAAAAATTTTCCTTTTAAAAGCAATGGAAAAAAATTAAATGGCCAAAAACGATAAGGCAAATGATTCAGTTAAACTCTGAGATTTTCTCGAGTGAAACCTGTCAACCGAACTTCGGCTTTTATCTTTGATTTATTATTCCACATTGAAATCCTGATCGGCTTGAAATCATTGCCCTGTGATAATCAGGCTACAAACGGACGTGATATAAATTGCTTGTCTCCTGGCAAAGTATCAGTGAAAATTGTCTCTGCTGACAACGAAATTTTGTAGTTGCCACACATGTAATAATTCTTTTACATGTACATGATAGTTGTAACATCAGAGTACGCAGGTTTTAATGTCTTGGGCGTATCCCCATTCAAGTGAAGTCCGGCACAAACTCTCACCGTTGTTGTTTGCAGTTCAGATATTCCATCACATGTCCCTTGATGCAAAATAACATATTTCAATCAAGCCAATGGGCATATCGATAAAGGTGTCCTAACAACTTATGATTAGGAAAGTGGATTGTGGGGTGCTTTCGGTTAGTGTCATAAACCAGTTGCAATAGCTGGCTGCAATCTTTCCACCTCAAACGACACCTCGAGCGGTAATTTCACGTGCACATGTAACACCGATTGCAAATATGGCGGCGTCTGCACGAAAGCGAGGCTTTTCGGTAGCAACCGTTGCTAAGGGCAAAACCCGATACCCGTTTCTCTGTGCGAGTACGAGTTGTTTACAATTTTTTGAAGCGTTTTTTCCAAGATATTCCCACAGCACACATATAGATGCGGAAAGAATTGCTCATCAGTCTTGTTTAAAATACTTAGGAGGCATCTCGAGGTCAGTAGACTCATCCCATTTTGTTTGCGAAGCCTTTTATTATGCAGATGCTCGTACACGGGCGCCATCGCGAATCGGGAAGTTTTATATTAGGAGTTCCGCGACTAGAATCGCTAACAATCGCTAGCAGGTTCTATATTTTCTGTATTTTCCGAGGATATGCTTGTAAATATACTTGGGCGTAAAAGAAATACGGGTGTAGCGACGATTCAAGATATAGTTATGTTATAAATGTTAGCTTTCCTGTCCCATGTAGGAGAGCGGTAGTATACTCCAATAAAGTATGTTGAGCAGGGATTGAAATGAACTTCACACCAAAGGATTTCACAATCCGTTTCGAGGTCACAACGTCTATAACAACAAATGTTATCCCTTAGAGCTAACAAAACACCACCACCTTTTCCTAGGCGATCTCTTCGGTAGACATTATAATCAGATGACAGGATTTCTCGATCCATTATTTCAGGGTTCAGCCATGTTTCGGTTATAGCAATGATGTCTAATTCCTTTGTAGCGACCATAGCTTGCAGCTCAGTTCTCTTATTGACAATACTACGGGCATTTAGACTGCATGATTTGAGAGTCGAGAAATTGAGAGGACCAGGGTTCAGTTGAATGTCGTTAGATATTAGAAGGAAAAGAATGAATAGATATTTTCTGGTAGAATAGCGATGGCGAAGCATCGATTTTCCAGATTTGACGAACTTTCGGTGACTTATCCTTGGGAATGTAGCGGCCAGGACGATAAGACCATTTTCGAATGAAGGCCTCTGATAGATAATATCATCTCTTGAGCTTTTCAGCAACACGTTGACAAAAAATAGCGTCAGGAGAAACGAAATAAGCGAAGCCACATGAGGAGCGTCCGCCATTACTTGCCAGAGTAAGAGTTTCACCAAGGCGGCCAAGGCGGCCAAGAAAACATTTGCACATGAGATCGAGGCTATTTGTGCCGCATAGCCAATCTGCCAGTCCAAAACGGCACCCAACGCCTCAAATCGCATGGCATCACGATCGATCCCCTTGGGAATGGTCCATAAAACCCTCGAGAGTGATTTCCGTAAAAACGACACGATCAGTATGCGTTCTCCTTCGTTGAACGCAATAACAACAGTTAAGCACTCATTACAAAGTTTTTTTTTTTATTAAAGAAACTGTTTAATAAAGTTGATCCACCAAAGCACTTTCCATTTCTCCGTCCACACCTCGTTTCACATTTCAAAAAAAAGCAAAACAAAACCAGCAAAATCATTGCAAATTCGTTCCAACATTCATCATGTCTCTGTGTGGAGCTGGCATGTTGTGCATATAATATATTGTCTAGCCTTATTAGTTGTTATTCTGCAAATACATAAGAAATTAAAGAATATTCTTTTTGAACCAAAAAAAAATTGTTTACTTTCATGTTCCTGTACAATATTCACAATAAATTGTTTTCTAATAAAAGCTTACAATCTTGCCAAAAATGTCTGGGCACTATCGTTACATCTGGTAAATACTAATACCATGAACACACCCCTTCAACCCTGGACAATATTAAACACAGGGAGGGAGGAAATATTGACAAGTCTACTTTCGTGGGTGGAAAATGAACGTAACTTGCTCATGATACACGGGACGGACTTGGAAAAAGGGATATGTGTTCTCCAAACGTTTTGGGCAGGATTGTTGGCACATTAAGCTAACACCTGTCTCTTTTACCTTTCTATGATGATCACACGAAGTACAAAACACATCTTATGATTGGGAAAATATTCGGTGGCCAATGTCCTAAATTTACATGGATCTTTGAATATCAAGAAGCTCTTTATGGCCCCCATAAAAAAGATAAAAGTTTTTGCTTTTTTGCGAATTTTTCGCACAACCGACTTCAAAAGAATTTCACAAATAGGAGGTTCACAGTCTGTATAGTATTAAATCCATTAATCATTCCATCAATCAATCAATTCCAACTTCTTGAACATACAAAATTGACTCGGCAAAGATTAGGCTCTGCAACGGATTTTGAGTTAAGCTATACTGTGTCCTGTATTAAAACTCTTGGAGATTTTCCTCAGCAGTGCAGATCCTTCCCTGCAAAATGACAATAAAGTATGCAGTTATTTACCATTTTATATATAAAAACGTGTTACACCATTTAGCGATGAGATTATTGGCTCCAGATTTCTATGCATGGTGGCTGATAAGGACTTCGCCAGAACCGAGGGGAATTAAGGATTAACTTCACGCGTATGTTGGGAAAAATTTGAAAATACACGTGAAATGAGTCCTTAATTGCCTTTGCATTGAATTACATTCGCGCACGATGACCTCGCGATGAAGCTATTTCAATGCCGCCACAAATGTCAAAACAAACTTAGCTGACCGATAGATTCAATCAACATTTTATTCCCAAAATACAGTTAACAACGTCGCACGGTTTCATTCAGTTAAATTGCAATCAATAAATCGTTGCCGCAAACTGCAAAAAGGCTCAATCAGCATCAAGTAATCACGCCCTCTTGATTAACAAAAGTGCCTCGTGATTGAGAAAAAAATACCCTCTTTCTCAGCTAATCAGCAATCAGTAATTTTTCCCCGCATATGATAAATTTTATAACATCAAGAATAGCTCACGCTTTTATTTCGTTTTGTTTACATCCGCACACTGTTGGCTACCAACTGTCTATCGCAAAATATACTTCGAGTATCGTAGCCAATCAGATTTCAGTAATTGAGATAGAACTCTGGTAGATTTATTCAAAAAGTGATGGATGGCAAGCCTATTAAAGGTAGAGGAGCTCGATAACATTCGCCTTGGCCTCCTAGCGACAACACCAGCACCTGCGACAATAACCACGGAGTACTATTAGCGTGGAATATAAACTTACTTCTGCCTGGTGGATCCACGTAAGGTGCCAGACTTGTTTCTCAAGAGAGGTTCGAGTTGTTCGGTGAGCTGTGTAAAATTCTTCTCCAGTTCTTTCTGATAGGCACGTTGATCAGATGCGATAAGCTGCTTGTTCCTTTGCAGAGCGTCTCCGCACCTAGTACACAGCAATAAAATTCCTTAGGACAGTAAGAGTATTGAAGTATTGTTATTCTAAAGTGACAGGGTCAGACGGTAGCGGTCTGTCGGGAGGAAGAACACCGAGTGACGATGTGGTGACATTTGGTTTCTTGCATGAACCACAGTGTACCGCGCAAATACCCGAAGGTAGAAAATGTGGCCCAAGGTAACGAGCGCGCGAAGATCCGTTGGATAACATAAAGTGTTAAGGTTTGCATAGGGTGTTTGGGGATCCAAAAAACCGGAAAACACTGTAAAAATACTTGAAGACAAAAGAGGGAATTCTGCCGCAATTAATATTTCGAACCTTTATATGGCGATTATCAAAATTCCCATCCAAACTCTCTCATTTTAATTTAAACAACAAAGGTTTCTGCTTATTCGTTAGCTTGGGCTAGCTGTGATGTACGTATATTCGGTTGAGTTGCTTTAACATTCAAGTCTTGTTGTTCTGTTACGCGTTGCATTACTCTCGTGAACATCGGGTTTGCCGGGAGTTCTTGGTTCTAACGGTAGTGGCATGTGCTCGCACAATGCTTGAGATATTCTTGTTTCGCCTTAAACCTTTTTTATTGAATAAAATCATGATTAAACTGCTGAGGAAGGCTTTGTCTTCAAGGATTTACATATTTAACTAACGGAGGAGACTGATTGATCAGAACACTTTTTTCTTATACAAAAAGTGTTTCTTGACTGATTTTTATATGTCTCAGTTTGTTGTCTGCCAGGCTATACACACGCATTACCTTTTGATAAACTCTTTGAAACAGAGTCTGAGTCTGTGATGGTGTCTCGTGATCATTGGCGTTTCCCCGCCATCTTCAGCGTCCTGATCGTGACACAGGAATACCAAAGCAATCTCTAGAGGACCCTGTAAAGACAGCACAACACACAAGCGACAGTTAGACAAGTCAGCCTTAATTGAGAGAGACTATATTGCTATCCACGAAAACAACATATTATGACTTGCTTTAAAATGTTGATTAACTGAAACCATTCACATGTTCTTCTCAAGTCGGGATTGAGACAATTTATTTTCCAAGAAAGAACAAGGAACGAGCATATTTGCAAATAGGAGGTGTACTAAACATGACATGATCATTAACAACCTTGGGTAAATGTTCAGTCAAAACCATGCAATACTCTAAAAACGAACAAACCGTAAAACTCAATCGGGATTGGGCAGGATATACCTAGACTGAGTTGTGTACTATCGATGAAAAAGTTCTTCATGTTAGGCAACTATCGTTGGTAAATAAAAGTGAAATTTTGGTTGTTTATTCCATCGTCTACCAACTACAATAGTACGGACCTTAACCAAACGAAGACCGCGACAGCATTGAGGACGTGGCACATCAAGATCTAATGCGCAGAAAAATAGCCGCTATTTTTATAGACGGCTAAAAAAGGTACACATGTACAGACACGTGCTTAGGCGAAGCACGTGTCTGTACATGTGTACCTTTTTTAGCCGTCTTCTGCATAGTAACAACATGAGCTCGACAAAATTTGCATGGTCTGACGACAGTTACCCCGACAGCAAATTATTTTAGGTGAAACTCGATGCTGATCGCCTACGTTATGGTGAAGTTGAGGAGTAGCGCAATATACTAAGTCATTCGCGGAATTCTATCTAAAAATATAAATTCATTTTTTAATCAACGACTTCCCCGGCGTTCTCTTACCTAAGGTCCCTGTCAACAATTTGTTGACATGGGTTCTTACGAACGTACAGATGAACAGACAGACAGACAGACTGAATGACTGATCGACCGATCCATCGACTACCTGAGGACCACAACGAGATTACATCCAAATAAAGAGAGAAAAAGATAGAAATGTGACCTGATTAACAGTGGTGCCAATAGAACCTTGTAACACCATCTGAAGCATCTTGGGGTTTGGTGGTTCTTGATTGATTGCGTTAAGAAGCTCTTTCGTCCTTAGTTCCATATCCTCGATGGCGACTTCAATGGGACTCAACACAATCTACAAGAACGAAAATAAAACCAATGTTAGAAGAAAAACACGTGTCTGAAGAAAGATTGATTTGTTACTCACAATTACGATACCTTAAGAAACACCACGTAAACTACATGCAGCAGTGAAAGTGAATAGCTACCAATTTGTGTCGGTAGTAGAAATTTCAGTAAAATAATTCATCAAAGTGTATTGATCATTCAGAACCACCACAGAAAAATGATCACGTAGAGTGGCTGGGTCAAGGTTTGCGCTACTTGAAACGTCAAGCCACTATCTTTTAGCCCTTCACACCCTATCACAGGATGCATATTCTTAAAACTGTTCTCTATACATTTATTACGGTGCTAATAAGGAGAATTCGTTTAATCATAAAGAGCCTCTTTGGTTAGTGATCATTTTTATTTCTTCTCTTGACCTTAATGCGTGATTCAAAGGTGATATTGTAATGAGAAATTAGAGGCCAGTAGGGTCCAAGAGTTAAGCTGGTCATTCCAACCCATGTTCATCTTCTGCATAATTGACCATTCTCGTTGCTTTCCGGTAGTCTCGTGTGGTTTCCTTTAAAACACATTATTTTGCTTGTCGTGAAAATCGGCTTAAAATATCTTAGTGTAAAACCTGCATAGGACATTGGGAACGAGCAAACAGGAGGTATCGTCCAATTTTTTTTTTGGCCGAAAACTCTCTCTAAAATAGAATTGCCAAAAGCATCTGAATGCGCACAAGTGGAATGACAGAAAAACAGCCGTATCTCAACACAAACAACATAACATGCAACGATATTGGACAGACCTGTTCACGATGCACAACATTGACTCGTGTCTTGACATACGGGAATGAGTTGGCAGCAGTCAAAATCGTCTTTCTCTTGTACTGGGTGACCAGTTCACCATGAGGTTTTCCGCTCGGTGTGAAAGGAGTTTCGTACATAAATCTTCCTATGAGTTTGAAAAAGTAATCCATTTATAGATAACAGAGCAATTCTCGATTGCTAGCCGTGAAATTAACCAAACAACCAATCAGAAACGTGGAAAATTTCGGCTCTGACTTGGTGTAGACTACACACTTGACATAAAACAATTAAGAACAAAAAGACAAAGGAACGAAGGAAATAATGAAAACATGGGTTAAGAGGGCGGTGTTCTACAGTGACGTGTCCTGTGTCTTCTATACCAAGGGGGAGACAAAACAACAGAAGGAACGCATCAAAATACATACTTGCAACCTACGGTGAGGGAAAAACAGGATTGGCAAAATCGAAATTGGTTTTTATTCAGCATCTGATTGGACGAGAAGACAGTTTGAGTTTTCTAAACCAATCAGGAAGCGTATTACTTCCAGCCCTCTGCTCTTAAAGTCTAAAGGAGAATCAGTTAGACTGTCAAAGTGTTGTGAACATACTTAAGTTGAAATTCTTGTCAAAATAGGTAATACGATCCTTCAATTCATATTCGTCAAAATATGGGTCCACATAGGTAAGTTGGATGTAAGCTTTTTCTGGATTCAGCTTGTCTTGTTCAACTGCGTTGGAATCTTTGATTACTTCCAAAACATTATGCCCGAACTTGTCTCCATAAAATGCCTGAAAAACAAATACCATACTGAGCTCCTGTTTCGTTAAATCAAATTGAATTCCAACACCAAATAAATGAAAGCCTGTGTAAAGGTTTTTGAAAGTTGTGCTGCAAACAAGATGACTCGTTTGTTTGATTAGACGATGCTCGAGACAATCTGCAGCGCGAATCGAATTTCCCAATCTGTGAACTTGGAAAAAATATATGTGCCTACATTGTTCAGTCGGAAACACACAGTCGGTGTGAAAAATTAGTGAACACTGTTTCTTTAGTTATTTTTACCTCTAGTTAGAGTGCTTTTAGATTCAGTGTCGTAAAACAAAAACCAAAGTACTGACAACGGTGAGAATTCAAAGAAACCCGTCCAAACTACCTAAAGCGCGGGAAAACGCGAGCGACCAAGTTGTGATTAGTTTTGCTTTTGCATCTGATTGGTTGGTAAAGTGGTGCGAGGTTTTTCGACACCCAATTGAAAATTTCTCTATCCGCCAGGTACAACGTTCCGACACAATTGAGGCTATTTGAGTTCGGACTGTGGTGTGGCGACAACGGAAGCAAACGAAATTACCATATCTTAAGTTATTTTCGTGGTGTGCGAAACAACCTTCAACTCGAAAAAGTCAACGGAATTTAGACTACTGGGATAAAAACACAAAGCGGTTGTAATAAACCTAGAAAAAACCAGGATGGCTAACTATAGGGAACATGAGAACGGATTGTAACCGACGGACTGGTAAATTTCAGACAAAGTTTTTCGAGATGCACCAACAAGGCCTAATAAACTAACCTGCAAACGATGGGACACTTCAGGAAGCTTCGTGATGGCGGGTTCTTTGTAAATGTACTCCTCTCCGTCCAAATCTCCAAATTTAGATCCATAAAAACCGACTCGGAAGTATGTTCCCAACATACGCTTTCCTTCCTGAAAATAGCAAATCTCGCTGCTTAAGTGAAACCTCTCTTCACATCCAATAAAAAGGAATCAGTTAGTTTCAACCCAACAAGACATTCACTTTTTGCAGGATTCAGTTAGCGCTCCGCCCTCTCTGATTGGCAGTTTTCAATTTTTGAAAAAAGAAAAGGATTTTCCTAAGAGTGAACATAACGAAGGAACGAAATTCGCTTGCAAAGTATTACTCGATGCATGGGTTTCATAAACAGCTGGTAACTCCCCGCCTATAAGACCTCTAACCGCCGTTTGTTGAGCCTGCAAGCATGCTCTTGCGTTTGGATTTTGTCTTACGGCCCATTTCCCGGCATGTTTATGAAATCCATGTTTGTGCATGACACGCTTAGTTTCACAGGTTGGTTTCAGTCGCCTACATATGGGATTGAGTCCGAAGAAACAACTGTAAATTGGATCTACGTTTGTTAAATACAAGTGAGTAAGTATTAATACAACAAAGACAAAAAAAAACCTAAGCTCTTAACAAACACCTCAATTACTGACAGCGTTTATGTCAAAATGACCAAACATGCAATCTATGAAAATTATGTCTCACCGTCTGTATAATCTTGCCGAATGCTTCTGAAAGCCTCTGATGAACCTGAGTCAGCTTCTTATAATCACGTTTTGCTTCTAGAATCGGGATCAGCAGTTTATACACCTCATTTACACATTCAAATAAATGAGATCGAAAAAACGTGTTTGCAGCTGATTCGAGTAAAGATACCAATCCATTCTCGCAGAAGTACTTCCCAGTGCAAATACCCTCCTCATCCTGGACAAAAGAACAAAAGATAAAGACTAACAAAATAACAAGGATAGCACGTACTTAACTCTATCACTCCCACTAATCGGTAGGTAAATTCTCATTACAGTTTTATTTCACTATAGAGCAGACAGGGTTACAAGGGAATTTTTCACCGATATCTCACCGATTTATCAGGAGTTTCGGACAAAGAAATGTGTTGTCTCCAGTTAGGAGAATAAGTTCCCAGGTCTTGAGAGTTTGAAGATTAAACGCCTAGCATGTTCGAACACGGGTTGACGAAGAATAACCACCCTCACATCAATGACAAAAACAAAACCAAAACAAAACAAAAAATCCCAAAGTGTGTCATGCGTCCATTGCTGGGCCCAGTAGTTCAAATGGCAGATAACAATATCCTAAGGATAAATTGTTATCCAGCCGAAAGAGTGTAAACAAAACGTACTGCGCTATCAACCGGACATAGTAATATTGCTTCATATGCTGTGTTGGGAAGGCCAAATTACAGACTTACAGGTGATACTACATCATCTGAAATAGCGCTTTCTTCCAGCACATTGGGGGATATCTTCTCAAACGAAACGCATCCAATAGGTAAGTGCGGCTTGTCTTCCAACATACTCAGGTACTCAGAAACTAAACCTGCTGTGTGTACCAGACACATGGCTGCCTCCACTTTATTCTGCCAGAAAGAAGCACAACAAAAGAAAAAGGAGGTAATTTGGTATTATCAACCAGGTTGATAACGTAAATTGACCACCTTAAAGAGTTTCATAACTGAAGTTTCGAGCGCTAGCCCTCAGTCGGAGCGTTACTCCTTCGGTTCTCAATACGTTAACTTTGAAACTCTTGATGGTGGCCAATTTACGTTATCAACTTAGTTAACAATACCAAATTACCTTGTTATACTCTCCCACCAACGCAGCACCGCAGTTTCTTTTACCTCCTTTATTCAGTAGATCATCAACAAGGAAATGCGGAGGATTTGAGCTTTGTTTCACTGTTAGAGTCCTTAGCATTATAACACGCCAACTTAACAGACACTTTAATGATTCGACTGTGAACTAGCGGTTTGTTATTCAAATGCAAATAACTTCCAAGTTTGATTGCGAAAGCGCTTCTACTCTTCCCAGTAGACCGCGACACCCACGACTTTCTTTGCCGCCTTGAGAGTAACGTTTTTGAATGAACATCACGTAATATGGAAAATTCAGGTGCATTTCAATGCACCACGTGATTGGTTTGAAACAAACTCACGGCATTACTCTGAAGACGGCAAAAAGATTCGTTGGGTGCAGCGGTTCACTGGGAAGAGTAGTGAAACATTCTCGTCCTCATAGCCCTTTTTGCTTCTCTTAGCCGGCGCCGGCTAAGAGAAGCGAAAAGAGCTTTGGGGACGAGAATAGGCCCGAAAAAGATCAAATGACTTGTATAAGTTGTATTTAGCTTAGGAGAGTTTAAATTCCGGAAGAAGCTGCAGTTGTAATGGTTCACGAGTGTTAGAAAAGTTTTAATCAACATTCAGAGTCGTTTTATTCAAACTATTATGCGCAATTTTTCGCTTGCTTACTGTCCAGACCTCGCTCCTCTTGTCACAAACTTTCCCACCCCATCCCCTTTAGATGTGTCCAAGCCGCAACAATCATTACCACACCCTCTCCCACAAAGGCTGTGTTTGTAACAATTATCGCTTCCGAAGAAATTAGAATTTCGCGCTCGGTGAGCTGGCTACGCGCCGGTGATTCCTAACCTTTGCCTTGCAAAAAATAGAAACCCTTTCCTTCAAACAATAGATAAGGACATAAAAGGAACGAAAGCTTGACTTATTGTCCGGCCAAACTCCTAACCAAAAGTTTGATATGAAAGGAGGCCAACGAGTCATCATTCGAGTCCAGTCAGGTTATGATTTCTTGATGCACTCGAATTAAAGTGATCACATACTGAATGCGGTTAAAAAACGAGCCTTGAGCCAGCTTGGCCAATTAATTCCTGTGAGTGAAGTTTACTCACTATTACAACTACGGAGGAGCACCTACGCTTGATGCAGCGTTCACGCGGAGTCCAATATCTAAGAGAATATGTCGACCGGTCAGATTGAAAAATTGGTTTCCAAGTGACGGCACTTCGTTCGTCTGTACGCAAATATGTATTTCGCGAGTGCAACAGGTTGCATCGTCAGACATTCGAAACAAATGAAAGGAATTAAAAATTACATAGAGCTTTACCCCCTCGCTTGGATAAATTAATACGGTATCTAAAAGCTATTGGTACCTCGCCGTGTTTGGTAGCCATGTTGCACAGCCACGTCAGTCGTAAATCAGGTGAATTTTGATATCTAGCATGAAAAAGATGAATACATGTGAATGCTACAGCTAATTAAGTGTAAATGGATTACAATGTTATGTGCTGCTTGAAGAGACACCGACACCCTGCGTTAAAATAACTATACGGACGAAAACGTTGCGCTCTTTGTCCTTCGATCTGCCTCGACTGTGTTTCAATAGCTTACCTCAAGGTATTGTGATATTGGCTACTGCCCGCCTGCGATATCTCAAGAACTCATTCGTAAACCATCCAAACGGCGAATCCGAACTGACGACTGGGGTTCAAATATTCACGGGGGAGAACGTGTATTTTCTCTTAGAACTTCTCTTTCGATAGTGCATTTAGCATCACTTTTTAAGTTCATTATCGGAACTTGGCGTACACCCGAACTCTCCCTGACTTAACTGCAGCACAAAAGTTGGGCATCCGAAGAGAGTCCGAAATCATCCGAAGAATATCCGATCAGCGTTTGGTGGGCCATTGATTTATAAACTCAACAGAGATCTGAGTTTTTCCATCTTTGGAACAACATCTCAAAACATTATTTTGATGCAGTCACCTTCATCCCTTTTGTTTGACGATTTGACGAATGCAAGAGCGCCTGCATCAGAAATCTTGCGAACATCACTTACCCTTTGGCAATCCTGTACATCAAGTCAATCAACATTTCTGGATCCTGAGTAAATGAGATTATAAAATGATGAATACGGTTTCAATAAAAGTCAAGAAAAAAATCGTCGCGGAAATGTTACTTTCTCCTCACATTTTTCGAAATATTTTATATCGTGAAATCGATAACTAGCGATGAGCAGTAAAGGAAGCTGGAACAATCCTTGGGAGTTATCCAAAAACTTAACATGAATGCAAGGAGAAACTTGTGCTTGGCAAATCACACAGTTTCGGTAACTTATCACATGCGGGGCAAAATTACTGAATGCTGATTAGCTGAGACAGAGAGCATTTTTTTCTTAATCACGAGGGCACTTTTGGCAATCAAAAGGGCTTGATTTCTTGATGCTGATTGGGCCTTTTCGCTGTTTGCGGCAACGATTATCGATTGCAATTAAACCGAATGAAGCCGTGTAATCTTTTTAACTGTATTTTGAGAATAAAACGTTCATTGAATCTATTGGTCAGTTACGCTTATTTGTGGCGGCATTAAAAGAGCTTCATCGCGCGGATATAGTACGCGAATGCAATTCCCTCAAACATTTTGCCCTACATGTGATAAACAGGTAATCTCAAGTACCTACGGGTAATTAATGATTAATTTCATTTGTATTTCCAAAGCTTTCCCAAAATTGAAAATATGCGTGAAATTAATCCTTCATTGCCCACGGGCCCATGCAATTTCATATACAAAGCGAAACCTTAACCTCAATGTAAAGAAAACTTGGCAAAGTTTTTACAGAAGGCCTACAGATATAATGACAATGAGAGAAATTTTTAGCCAATGGTTGTGCAGAAGAGAAACATTAATGTAACGAAGTGATCAAATCATGCACGGTAAAGGTCTGAGATATAAAAAAAAAAATAGTGACTGATCTTCTTCGAGACTCTCTTTTGGAAAATAAAACGCCTTCACAGCAGGAACTGAAAGAATCCATCAAAAACGTGTACAACAGGAACTAAAAATTGTACCTCTTGAAACTCTTTCATCTTGACTGTGTCCGACAGAATCATGTGAAGATTGAACACCAACTCCCGCACCTAGGAGAAATATGAGATTTATTTCTATCCCAGTATAAGAATGATTACAGTAACAACCCAAAGGTAAGAGAGCGACAAAACACAATCCATTGAGTATGCAGACGGAGTCCTTTGTTTTTCCTCCTCTCCATAAGAAGCTAGACTAAAAGAAATTCTTGACTTAAGTGATGAGTATTTGCAGTAACTAGAGCAAAATCTGTCCGTGAATTGCGCGTTGTGATTTGGTATGTGTGGCTAGGTTACTAAGGTGTTTTCTTGTTTGTATATTTGTTTTTATCTATTAATTTTTAGAGCGGGGGCATCCACAATCGAACTTTTAGGAAATTTGAAGAGAATTTTCAATAAGTTGAATAACTCTTTGAAATTTCCAACCACTTTCATAGGTACACTTTTAAAATAGCTTCAATGTCCGTGAAAATAGCTGTGAAAACATTCACCTGATCCGGAAAAGTGCTCGTTCGCAGCTCCTGGTCTGATTCAGCGTAAGTAATGATTGTTTTCAATGACCGACGGAGGTGATCTTCATTAAATGCCTGCAAGCAAAGAAAGAGAGTTTCGCGGTTACTGCGCCGAGCAAAGCGTTAACAACCCATCACAAAAGCGTTTATTAATCATTAAAAAATTTCATAATCTAAAATAAAGCTCAACTAACAGTCGAAACCACTTATAACTGTGCACCTGGCAAACTAAATTGTAGTTAACTGCACAAAGAAGCCCAAACAAAATCATTTATGAACTCACTTGTGAAGTGCCAACGAGACTGGAAAGTGACATTGTAACTTGCATCTTGACCCTTGCAAAATTCTACAGAATAATCGTTCATACAGATAAACACCAGTATTAGGGATAAGGTCCTAAAGAAACTGTGCTGCTGCCTCGTGTGTGTGAGGGGGGAGGTATAACACGATCATTTGGTTTTAGCAACTGAGTTTATAATGTATATTGGTCATCGTCAAGAGTTTCTGAAGCCAACGTTACCAACGCTAGCCCTTCGTTAGAGCGTCTTCGTCTGAAAAGGGGCTAACGCTCGAAACGTCAGCTTCAGAAACTCTTTAAAAATGCCAATTTTCATAGTCAACTCAGTTGATAAAATCAAATTATCGAAACACAAGAAAGTCCTCTGTTTAACTCTCAATCGCAGCACTTTGTGTAGGATTAAGCTTGAGTCTTAGTATCCAAGTAGGCTAAAGTGCCGGAGCTTATCCCGGTTCCTGAAGCAACTTAAAGCATTGCCCTCCTTCTGGATGGAAAACTCCATTGTCACCCCAACGCAATTCGTCAGATTACCTACCAAGTTTGCAAGTAGTCATCACCAATAACCCTCGGCGAAGAGAGGTACTGTAAGGGGAAAGCGTCCTACCCGGGACAACTCTACGTTCGAAAACTGGCCGGTCAATGCGACAACGACCCACCAGAGCTCAAAACCGGTTCCATCTGATCTGGAGTCCAGAAGCCCGTTTACTAAAACGTCCTTTTAGTTACCGGTTCTGAAAAGCTGCCCTTTTTTTCAAATTTTGTTCCGTTTACATAACAAATCGATGTGAAAATGGATTTGAAACTCAAACAATAAGTATGCGAGACAACGAAGCCAAAATGACAAGCTGTTTAGCAAAACTACGCACTACTCTTTTCGGCTTAGACTTTAAAATAAATGTGACCTCGGGCCCGTTAAGTTCGCGGAACTTTCAAGAAACAGGTCCAAGAACGAAACCACTTCGCCAAGCGCGTCTCCCACACATTGTGGAAGCCCAATACTCTTCAACCAAAGTTTACCACCAATGGAGAAAGAAAAGCAGCAGCACTATTTAAAATGAGTGTCCAACAATCAGTTACAACTTACATTTCCTATTTCAAAATTCTGTCGCATGAGGAGATAGAGTGACGCGCTGGCCTGAGCCCGAATACTACTAAGAGCCGAGCTGCAATGGTTTAGGAGTCTGGAACACAAGTCTGCACAAAGCTCTGTGTCATCTTCAAACAATAGCTCCGGGAACTGGAGAGAAAAGAGAGCAGTATGTTGACAATCTACATGCAACACCTATCTCTCGACAAAACGATGCAGACATCAGCTATCTAACCTAAGAAAACACTATTTCAGATGTTAAGGCTTCTATTCATAGTCTCGTGGAGGTAGTTACGTTACCTTATAGACAATTGATCTTTGAGTCGCAAATATGTTCTGCAAGACCCTTTCACTCTGGTTGTAGCTCAAAGAATGGAGTAAAACCCGCAGGATTCCACTCAATACAACACGAAGAGACTCTGAGGAAGACACGGTCTGAAAGAGAAAGTTTCCACTTAAACTCTATCCAACGACAAAGAACAGGACCTCACATTACAGTCCTTTAAGCCTCAATGCAGACGTCTCAAAGGCCATGGTAAGACCAGCCAAAACAACTTTAGGGGTAGTAACATATTTCAAGGCCTGGATTTAGAGCCATCTCATATGCTGCCTCATTTTCTCTTGATTCAAAGTAGCTGAATACTATTAAATCATATTTAATGTAGTTAACGACTAGGAGCTATGGTCGCGAGTGTTTTTGGCGTTCTTTGAGGGCGTGTTGGCCGTTTGTAGCGCTGTTGCGTAACTATGTTTGCGTTTGTTGCGTTTACCATTGTTCGTGAGCATGGGGGCAAATTCCTGTCCAGCGGTATGTTGCTGTGGCGCATGCGCATGCCATGTGCCTACGTTTTGCTTGCGTTGTACTGGAAGCTTTGTTAGCGTGGCGTGGCGTGACGTTCTAGTAGCGTAGGGTTTCTCTTGGTTCCCCTCCCTCCCTCCCTCCTCTTCTTGGTTTAAGGTCTCCCCCTCCTTCCCGGGATTTTTTTCCTTGTTTCGGGGGTTTGTGCATTTTATTTCCACTGGGCTTCTGGCCTCAGTGTGACAGGTACTATAGTGGGGGGCTGGGCGCAGGTTGGTATGCCTGTGGGTGTTCTTTCGCCTTGGGGTGTAATTGTGGTAGCAGCCCCCTGGCCCATGGGCACCCAACCTCCACTTGCGACGCAGGCGTTAACAGGTAAACAACACTGACCTGTACCAAGTGCTCAAGTGTATCAAGAACAATGGTGCTGACTTCAGCAGCAAGCCCTCCTTCGATTTGAGCATTGACCTCAACTTCAGGACGCACTCTTTACGGGAGACAACGAAACAAATAAAAATTGGCAAGAGTGATTTAACTACAAGGAATAAAACGAACACCATAAAGACTCTCTGACAAACCACTTTATCTAAAGAGCCGTTCTCCCTGATAAACTCTAGTAAACCTTCCTCCCCAAGAGGTTTCCCTCTCTTGTAAACCCATACTCTTCAATTAGCCCTTCTCTCAAATAACCTCCATAGAGGATTCAATAAGCGCTCCCCCTCTAGATAAACCTTCTGCTTCCCCCTTCTAAACTAAAACGTCAGTGCCGTTATTCACATGGAGAATATAACGTTTCTGTACGATATGCACTTGTGTCTGAAAACCTTCACTAGCTACCTTTCAAATATGGTAGGGTTCCTAACCGAAAAAAAATTAACTCGGTACATAATACTCACTAAAGCTGGGCGACAGATGGAAAGTACTGCCCACCATTTTGGCTCTCATCAAAAAGATTTTAATAGGACTCCCTTCAAACCCTGCCCGTTAGAAACCACCCCATCTGGATCCTCCGGACTTGTCAGCCCCCTGGGGTTTATTGAAACGTTTTCGGTGTGTACCTGTCTTGTTGTTCCGTAGCCTGTCTCCATTGTGTTTGATCCTTTCGCCATCTTAATCGAGCCTCAGGGGTTGGTGACTGGCCTTTTTCTGTTTGGAAACAAAACACGAAATAGTTTAAACCGAGGGAATATTTTAATGTGTTGCACGGAAGTTTTGCAGTAGTTTAATTGTGCGGATGTTTTTTTTCTGCTCCTAAGTACGTCAACTTGTTGTGGCGAACAATTTTCAAATGCTTCATGTGTCAACCTCTGCAAAGCAGCGTTTTCTTTAGAAATTAATCTGTTTGTTTACGAATAATGTTGTCCACGGGACGGAATAAAGACAAAATCTAATGCCCTGTGAGAACAATCCAAGGTGCAATCCAAGTAATGCAATCCAAGCAGAGCAATCCAAGGATTCTTTCGTGTTACCCTTTGTGGTAAACGTTTATGTCTTTCTTTAATCATTTTGTTTTGTTACCTAACTGCACTCTGCTATGTCGCTGCATCATTTCTCTCGCGGCTCCTTTATTTCCAAGTAACATCTCTTCTATTTTTGCTTTTGCATCCTGCTGCGCCTTCGGTCTTGGCACAGTTTGAAACTGTGAAGACTTCTGCACCTTGCCGCCATATTCAAACAGAGTGATGCACAGCCGAAGAACGTCCAGCAGCAAGCCAAGTCTGGAATGGTACAACGATAAAAATGGTTTACAGCAGTTTTAACCACCTAACTCTTAAACTGAAAGACATCATGATTTTGAAGTTCCAAAACGAAAAGGAGAAAGATGTTTTTCGTTTTGTCACGAGCACCGGACAATAAAATAGTTCCGAGTCTCAAGAAGAAAAGGACCTCAAACCTTCTTATTCCGCGCTCCTCATACACTTATCAAAAAACTTTACCCCAAAACGGAAAGTCGTTTTCGGTGACCGATTACAGAGGAAGCGTATGAAAGGGAGGCCCAATTTAAAAACAATCCCTTTGAGGCCCATCTGGGTGAAAGTGAACCGTCATTGAGGTTAGGTAGCCTGTTCTAAGAGTTCAGTGGGTAAAACGAAGAACGACAGAACACGGCGCAGTTATAGCGGAGAAAGCAAAATAACCGAGGGAGGTTTGGGTCTGGTCTCTTAATAACCCGACCCAGACCTCATTCATTTCGCGCTGCCGTTACTACTGCGCCGTTACGAATTCGCTCCGTGTCATTGACTCCTGGAACAGGCTAGGTGAAGCGACTAATGCGTACTGGGAAATGCGAATTGGTGACATACTTAGCAGGTTGTTGGTCAGCCCACCAATCTCTTAGCACGTCACTAGCCATGTTCTTCAGCACCCACAACAGACATACCAACAGGTTTCTGGTAGCTTCGAGGCTCAGCTGCTGTGGTTTACTTTTCTGTACAACAAAGCAGAGTATCACAAGCAAGTGAGGCGGTGCAACATCAAAATCTACCAAAACTTTTGTTCTTTCGTCTCACGAAGGAGTCACTCTACGCTGTTGGATATCTATAACCGTGTTCACTACCAACACGATCAGTTAAACGTATCTTAATTTACAATAATAAAGGAACTAAGTTTATAAAGAAAATGTGGGGTTACGTCGGTAGCAGTGGAGGTCAAAAAGGCGTTTGCCCTTCGTCAGAGCGAAAGAAAAGGGGCTAATGCTTGAAACGTCAGCTTTGGAAAGTCCACACGGTGCCATTTACATTCTCAACTCAGTTGTTAAAACCAAATTAACTCAATTTAAAATAATGATGGAATTGAGTTTTTGAGATAAACTGTGTCATCTGTAAAATTAAACTTTTCATTACTAAGAGTAATCATTCGAAGAATTCGCCTTATTATAACAATACACTGTCGAGCATAAAGATCTTAAGAAAGAGCAATCATCATCGTTGTTGTGTTGATCCAACAGAAAATTCTCCCGAACAACCAACCAAAATGGTGTGGTCATCAGTTAAGAAAATCTGCTTCCAAATCTTGAAAGTAACGGGTTAAAAAGCTTTCGCACCTGAATATTACGATTATCAGTTGAGTTAGGCGCGGAAAAGTTGGGTGACAAGGTTTTGATGGTAAAATAACAGTGTTCTTCCGAGCAACCTTCCTTGTTTCCATTGGTAACCGAACCTCAAGGGCTGTGCGCCACCAACAGTCAAACGTGAAAGCCCGCCAAGAGAATTCAAACAACACGTTGCTACTGGAAACAGAGCAACGATTTTAACGTCAAAGCTGTAGCTGCTAAACTTCCGTAGCGCCTAACTCAACTAATATGGCAGTTTTGTAAGATTAAGAAAATGAAAAAGAATGAAAGGCTTTCATGAACTTTCTAACAACCTGCGATGAAAATTCACTCCTGCTGTCATCAGATCCCTTTAAGGTTGATACACTGGACGTGGCTATAGCCATGGCAACATCAGGGGTGAAGCTGAAGTTGTCCTTGGTACCATACCCATGTAGCTGGTGTAAGGCTCCTACCACCAGTCCAGCAATGGGTAGATAGAGAGCCGCCACGGCTGAGCGACAGGAGACGTTATCATAGCGGGTGTCTGAGTCATGACAGGCTATCAGATCACGTGTGGTGTCTATAGCTTGGCATATTATGGTCATGTCCCTAAAAAAAAAAAATCAACAACATAAAGTTTGTATGCTGTTGGAAAAAATCACAAGTTGCTGTGAGAATTTAGGGCTTGGTTTTGCGAAGATAAAAGGAAAAACCAACTAATCAATATCTAACCATCAGGGCACAGTTGTTCAAAGTTGAATAATGCTATCTATTCAAAAAGACGCAATCCAGCGGATAAGTGTTAACAATATGAAGTGCGCTATCCACCAAGGGCAGGAGACAGGAGCTGAACCGAGAAATTGCTATCCAGCGGCTTATCAAAACGTACTGCACTATCCACCAAATAGAGATTTATCCGATGGATAGCATTCTCCACACTTCGAACAACTGCGGCCTGAATGTAGTTTCTTGGGTATTTTCCTTCTCTTCAACCGGCTATTGTGAGTACTCAGGGTTTAGTTTCACGACACTTATAGAAATACACTCTGACCAACATTTAAAACATTAGACACCCGTCATTAAGGAGGTCGGAGGCTTTGAGGGGATCACGCGGTTTTCAAAGGGAATGGAGATCAGTCGTCGCTAACAAAGTACAAAAGTTGACTGCCAACGACCCTGCATAATAAATAATGAGCAGTCCCTCACCCTCCTTCCAAAGCCAGAGCCAGTTCAGATAGCACCAGACCAGCCAGGAAATGCTGCTGTCTAAAAGGTGTTGAAAGTTCCGCCATACTGTTGCCGATCACTAAGGTGTAGGTAGACATGGCCGAGTCGATTGACGAGACAGAAGCTGTAGGTGATGAGGGAGGAGTGGGGAAGAGGGGACATGGGAATGGCAAATTAAGTGTCACGTAGTGCTCATGGCTGCAAACGATCCTCAGGAACTCGAGTCTTAGCTGGTTCACCGCTGGCTCATTGGTCTCATTGGTGGCTTGATAATGCATCTAATGAAAAGTAATAGGAATTATTTTAGTCTAATACTTAACCCTGCACTGGAGAAGGAGAACTTTTGGAAGGATGTTTCTCCGTCTTGTTGTTACCTGTCCGACACCAAAATTCTTGCGTGGCAATAGACATGACGCACATAAACGAACTATGCAAGCGCAGGGAGATAGGAATAGCTGGAAGTAACTAAACGAAAAAGAAACAATGAACTTGTGCTAATCCCGCTGTAGTTGAAGCTTAAAAAGTTATTAATAAAGTGGAAATAGAAACAACTTTTCCTTGTATCCCTACTAGTTAAGAAAGTTAGGAAATAGAGGGGGGCGGTTATTCGAAGGGGGCGCTTGTTTGACATTGTGGCCTAGGGTGTGGGCGCTTATTCGAGGAAATACGGTGATTAAAAATTTCTTTTTTTCATGAACATTAAACCCCCTACCCCCTAACCCCCCCCCTCCCCCAAAGACTTCGACGAAGCCAGGAGACGGGCTTTAGCGAGATGTTTGCATACCTCTCTAAAGTAATGCCTGATAAGCTCATACACAAAGCCTCTGTCGATCAAGGACAAAAGATCGTACAAGAAGAAGGCTAAACTGGAGTTCAGCCGCCGGCAGAGGGTAAAATCCTACAATTAAAACGAAAAAAAAATTGAGACAATCTGTAGAGAAAATAAACTATAAAAATATCATATACGAAGTAATGTCAAGTAAGTTGTTTAACTTTGTGCTTTTCATCTTATTCCCTTCACTCAGCCAAGCCTCGGTGAGAGGAGTTGCTGAAAGCCATAAAACCAAAACAATTCATTGAGAGAGAGAATGGAGGATTCTTAAGTGGAGGGAAAGGGATGTAAAAAAAACCCAGCCCCTCAAAGAAAAGGCATGAATATTCTTGTCACAACACACGTATCTCCAATCTCAGCCAAAAATGTTGGGAACACGACCCTATTCCAGCATAATTGTTGTTTATATATTGTAGTTTTGGAGAAAGCTATTTTTCTTCTTGTCACGAGTGTAAAACAAAGTAAATATTTTGAGTCCTCATGAAGAATTGAACTTCAGACCTCCGAATTCCTCGCTCTGATGCTCTACCACTGAGCCACAGAGACTCTACGGTGAGCGAAGTGTATTACGAAGTTCATATCAGACGCGTCCTGCATACTGCTAGGATCAGCAGTGTCGATAGCGTCATGTTTGGAAATAGAATAAGAGAGATGAAAAGTTTCGACCTCGGTTAAGAAAAAGAGAAAGATATTTTTCGTCTATTTACAAATTGAAGTTTTATTTCAAATGTCCCTCAAAAAAGTAACCTTACAAATCTATTCCCCTGACACCACCCCACCCCAACACCCCCCCCCCCCCAACAATGTCGAAACTTATACCAAGAGTGAACCTAGGGGAATAAATAGATTTTCTATTTCTTTGTAAAAAAAAAAGACAAATAATTCTTATTTTTTAGCGTGGATATACAGATCAATGTCACTATCTTAGCAAATGCACACCTACCCCTCCCATAAGTCAACAAAAGTCAACTGATTAGAAGTTGGGGTTAATGTTAGGTTAGGGGAGGGGTAGGTGCGCTTTTTGCTCGCATACTGTTACTTAGGCTTGAAAATAATGACTACAACACGTCCATCACCGAAACTTCTTCCACAAAAAGGTGACACAAAGACATAAGTGACAACAAATTTGGCAAATCTTACCTCAAGCTTGCCAGTGATCTCAGAAACTGTAGAATTGACCATAGCACGTATGTCACCTAAAAACTGATCAGGAAACCTGCTTTTTCTTGTCCAGAAAAACTTATCTGTGTTTTCCAGGTATTGTGCCATACTCTTAAACTGTGAATATCGTAAAAATACATAGTAATGAATCACCTTTTTGTACCGATTTTCAAAGGATTGTCTCAGGTAATGGGATTGTGATGTTTTTCTTCTCAAATTCAGTTCACACTGTGATAGTCAAGAGAGTCAAACCAAACTCTTAACCAATCAGGAACAAAACTAAATCCAATCTTAACTTGCAATTGGTAGTTTCCTCGTTTCAATAAAGGGATAAGTTTTTTTTAGAAACTGTGTTCCTGGGTTTTACAAGATTTTAAAGAAAGCTACAAAACTTTTGAGTTTGTAAATCGTTTCGACAGAAACTTCTGTCATCTTCGGTTAATTACTGTACAAATCGTTGAAAGTTGAATTATATAGTAAGTAGAACAATGCTAATTATGATAAATAGTGACAACAAGAAAGGAGGTAAAGCATGAAAGTGTGAGAACAATGTTAATAAAGCCACATATGGTAGTCTGTGGCCCTTTCCTACTCTAAACAGTTCGGACAACCGAGGAAATCTAGGAAAAATTATTTTCAAATCAGCCCTCCTAAAACCTACTGTATTGACAAACAGTTTTCATTCAACTAATTTATTCTTGTACGGCAATTTGATAATATCAACAGAGTTGATAAAGTAAACTCTTAAAGGTGGCCAATTTACGTTATCAATTAAGTTTATAATACCAAATTACCCTGTTATAATCTCCCACCACAGTTACTTTAAAACTTACCTCCCTTTATTAATTCATTCTTGTGTATTGCTCGTTACCATGCGCCCCAAAATAGCCCAGCTCCATCTTTCTGTATATAACCCACTCATAACCCACAATTCCTCCATTCACTCCGTCGAAGGGCTGACGCTCGAGACGTCAGCTTTAGAAATTCTTTACGATGACCAATTTACATTAACAACTCAGTTGATAAAATCAGATTCTCTTGCTTGTTTTCACCTTAAGTTCTCATAGATTAATAACGGTTTTACGACACTAAAATTTTTCTTTGAGTTAAAACTGTTTATTTTAAGTTCTAATGTTCCTTCTTTGTACCACATTCAAGTGAAAATAATGGCTTAAGTCAACTTACCATCAGATCAAAAAAGAACCAAGCATGACCCATTGCTAGTTCTCTGACAGGTCCAGAAGCCACAGCCCATTGCAAAGCCAACTCCTCATGCACCAGCTATTGAAAAAAAAGAAATGTCATACAAAAAGATTCTGAACATCATCGTAATAACCTTGGTTTCCTGCAAGGATCTAAATCTAAGTCAGGTTAGATTTTATGGTGGGATGCTCTACTAGTAGAGCCATAGAGAACTTGTTTTGAGCTCTGCCGCATTTGAGGTTCACATCAGCCTGCGAAAAGGCCCTCATGAGCGCTGTAGTACACGCGCACCATAATATTTCAAGTGCTTATATCTATTTACAATGGAATCTATAATTACATATTTTTTACAAATGTTGTCGGATAACAATAAAATTTTGAATACGAATGCATTACAAGTGTGTTTGCTAGGGGAAAAAAACTAAATATATTTAAAAATCTGTTGACTTTGATTCAAATACGTAAGATTTATCTAGGCTAAAATTTAGCAATAAAGAATTGAAGGCTGATATATTATTAACAAAAATTATAAAAATGATGATAATAATAATAATATTAATGATGATAATAACAATAATAATGAAAAAAAAAAGTTAAAATCACTGTTGCATACCTTCCTGTTATTACTGCTGCCAAGAACAAGACCAGGAACAGCCAGGGAGCTGGGACGAGACTCTGCCATACTGCTCCTGTTGCCAGGCAAGTTCATCACCTCAGCCATCCTTGGTTCCTCTTCCTCATCCACCCACTTTCCAGTTGTATATGAAGGTTGCTGCTCATCCGCTGAGTTCAGCTGAGGATTACTGCTTGACATCTTCTGTCTTGCTTTACTTTGTAGCCCAACTGGTATACTCGCTGAACGTGATGGTTCTAGGATGAAAGACGAATTTAACTTTGTTTGAATACACCTTAAAAGATACCAAGAGGGGGCCCACTCTCCAAACATTTTCCCTCGACGAAGGTGTCGGCGCGCCATCACCAAACGAGAAACACAAAGAACCATACAATATCAAAGAGGTATAGAACGGGAAGCCTGATTACGTCGTGGTTTTTTTTCCAAGTACAATTTATCTTTTAATAATCAACCGTACATTACATAGTTAAATTATAATTACATATCTATAAATTTTATTTTTAAAATTTAATGTAACAACATTGTAATTCATGTATATGCGAGAATGTTGATATAAAACACACTACCATTATCATTACTGTTTTTGCGATGGGAAGGAGCAAATTGGTAGGTAAATTGGTCTGTACTCAACCCATATGACCCACCCAAAAAGACCTCGTTTCAAAGCAATTACCCCCTAGCATTTCATCAGGCTTCCCTGACATTCCGCTGACCATTATCCATTTATACTCCTGGGTGGTGAGAGGCACTGAGAGTAGAGTGTTTTCCAAGAATACAAAACAATGACCCGGTCAGGTCCTGAACCCGAGCCTCTCGATTCAGAGTCCAGTGCACTGACTATTATACCATCGATACCATCGCTGATAACCAAATAATAGATGAAATACAATAGCCAACCTGCATAATGATCAGGTGATGATGGTGGAGAGTGATTGTAAGGAGCAGAGAAGACATAAGTGATGTATGAAGCCAGCAGCTGATTACGGCCGTGTTCATCCTGGCTGTTCTCTAACAGCACATGAAGTCGATGGACAATCTGCGTTAACGACTCAAAAGCTGATTGTCCAATGTTTACTAAGGGAAAGAAAATAATCCATCAACAAAAGAAAAATAAGACTTGGAATTAAATAAAATTTAATATTTGAGGTTTGAGGTTTAAGAGACTTAGTCACCGACATTTTCATTTGGACAGTTAGCTTGTTTCTACTTCAAGTTCCTCTTTATTTATTGATATTTTTTTTCGAAATTTAGACAGGCTGGCCCATTGTAAAAAAAAAGATATGTTAACAATAACGAGGCCAGATCACAACGCTAAGAACTACGTTTTCTACTCACTAGCACTGAGAAGATGTAAAGGTTTCTCGTCCTTATCAGAGACTAGAATGTTTAATTATATGATGTCATAGCAAAGGTAGCACATTCTCCTCAGTTATTAAGACCCTGAATGTTGGTCCGGTCTGGGGCTTGAACCTTTGACCTCCCGCACGGCAGCCCGGCGCTATTCAACAAGAGATACCTAAGCGCGTTGTGAAATTGTTGCTCTAATTAGCCATTGTAATAACTTAGGTTTTGTTTAACCATACTTAATCGCAATGTGCCTCAATGGATGGATATTCTAAATTCTCTTTACCTACAGTCCCTGAAATTATTGGTGGTCTGACGAGCAGCAAAATAAGCTTATCCAGAATCAGGTACAAGAACCTCACAAGAGGTTCTTCTCTTGCCTTGGACAAGTCAACTATGCTTTTTCGCAAAACAGATTCCAGGTTTCCCTCTGAGGTACGAGTTGGTGATGATGCAACACGTCCTTCGATCTGGTGACAGATCTTTAGAAATTTATGAATGGGAATATCCTGAAAAAAGAATAAACATGGAAATGAAATACTGCACAGCAAGAAAAATACAGCATTCATTTTGACCAATCACTGTCAGTGTCAGAGAAACTGCACACCTACTCCTCCCCTAACCCAACACTAACCACAACTTGTTACCGGGGAAGGGGTAGGTACAAAGTTGCTCAGATATTAACACTGGTCCATAATAACTTAAGTAAAAGTTATAAAAATTACCTGTGTGTAAATGGAAGAGACAGCCCTGACGGCAACATGAAATACACCCTTATGGCTCTCTAACCATTTCATACCGGGAAGTTGCACCTTCAAATAGCAAAAATAAACACACAAATTAGTGCACGAAGCTAAAAGAGCGCTTCTCAATTGAGTGGTGTAAAAAGCATTCACAACGGCTAATCAAAACAAAGAAAAATGCCTATCGGGCCAATGTGAACTAAAAATAAAAACCCAACTGCCAAAAGCGCGGGAAAACGCGGGCGACCAAGTTGTGCTTGCTTTTAACTTTGCATCTGATTGGTTGAGGGGATGGCGCAAGGTTTCAGGACCAATCACAGTGCGCAATAAAGCAAAACCAACGCAATCCCGATTCAATTTCGACCTTCAATTGACGATTGCACTAGTACATTGTTTATTAAATTATAATTATCACGGCAAGCTCGTATGCATTGTTTAAAACCACAGAACTCACTTCTGGTGACAACACACTGTAACTTGTAGGTGGCTTTTCCAAAGAAACAGGAAGATGGAATTCGCCCAGATTTAGACGGCCTTCCTTTATTGCAGGGATCCACTGAAAGGAAAAATCATTGAGTTAAGTAATGCATAATATTATTTATTTCCTACTGAGTTGATTAGTCAAGCCACCCATACCATTGGAAGGGAATTTCTGAGAAAAATTTTAGTTTATTCGAAATGAAACACTCTTCTAACCTAAAACTTACCTACCAAGTGCTAATGCAGAGGATAGTAATAACGAAACTGTCAGTAGTAACAATAATAAAATTACAAAGCACTTTTCATACTGTATATCCTATGGGTGTTTCAACCGGTCCCTTCTCTTCAAGCTTCTTCCCAGTTGAGCAGCTGATGTGATAAAATGTGAACAGCAGGTGATGTTGATCTGTGAGATTTGCTGGTAATTTGATCTTCACTTCTTCATAGAAGTCCGGGCACCTTCGATCAACAAACAGAAAATTATTTTCAGTGTATTTAATGTATAAAAAAAGTCTTGACCACCTTTAAACTGCTGATTGTTCATTGACATATCAACAAATCAACCAATAACATATTTATACCATTGCATTATTTGTAAATTGAATGCTTGCCAATCTTATTTCTTGGAAACTGGCCCATTGCATCTCAGTTGTTTATTTTTAGTGACATAAAATGGCAAGAAATAGCTGACCTGATTTCTGTGTGAAAAAGTATCAGTACGTGTAGAAGAATAGTTCCCTAAAATACCACCAATGTGGAAATCCCAATTTTTCAAACTTCCAGGGTAAAAAGATATTGGCTAAAATGTTTAGTACATTGAATAGATTCAGAAGTAAAATTAAAACAATCTTTGGGTAGAATGATTAAATTTTTGAGAAAATGTAAGTTCAAGAAAAAGCAAGTTATGCTATGACACACAAGTTAAGCAGTGACTTACTTATTGTGGTAAGTTACTGGTGACCAGGCATCTTTCTGCATAGCAGCACCACTTGACTTGCCAAACACACACTAGGAAAAAAAATAAAAGGAACAACTAAAATACCGTATTTACCCGCAGATAGGCCGCACCCGCGTATTGGCCGCACCCCAAACTTTCAATGGTTTTCATGGGAAAAAAAAAATTGTTGAGGTCGAGTACCGGGTAGTTGTATGTGTTGTAAGTTAGGAACAATTTAAAGCGAACATTAAAACGCCAATTTACTGTACTACCGTGAGTTCTCGTGCATATTAATGAGGTGTCAAAACGCTTGTAAGGAAAAAAGTGCGGCCTATCCGCGGGTAAATACGGTAAGTTTGGCTAATTTTAAGGACAAAGGGCATACAAAGTATGATGGCATCTCCTGTCTCTAGAAACAAATGAGAGGACAGGACAGATCAGTTGGTAGTGTTTAAGTGCACCTCACATGTGCATGAAGACCAATTCTTGATGTGCAAATCTGCCTGAAGTGAGTGCAGGAGAAGGCATCCTAGCTTGCAGAGCAGGCATAACTTTGGCAAGCAAGAGCTTGGTATTTTCTTAAAGAAAATTATGGCCCCAATTTTTTATTTCAATGGCACCGGAAGACTGGCCTGAACAGAGAAAGAAATTTGTACCAAGGTCAAAAACAAGGTGGGGTGGGGGTGTGAAGATTCTTGCCCTTCCCCAGCCCCCTTCCCCCACCCCTACCCCTAACTGTCCACTATAACTCCAAATCAAACATGGCCAGTCAGATAAATGATCGCAAGCTTATCTTGCTAACCCTGATGAGATGCCTACACTGCAGGCTAAAGGCATCCTGGCATAGTACTGAATTTCAATAGTTAATAATAATGCTAATTGACTCATTCATGAAGCTGAAGGAATCAGAAATGGGAAAGGGCTGTAAATGTACTGGCATCTTTTAACCCTTTAACCCATAAGAGTGACTGGCTTCTAATTTCTCCTTACAGTATCACCTTTGAATCAAATGTAAAGGTCATGAGAATAAAGAAATTGATCACCAATTTAAGAAGCACTTGATCATCAAACAAGTTCTCTTTGTCAGGGTTGAGGATCCAGGAATTTAACAATTAATGTAATGGAAAACCAAGGAGCCAAAAAATCAAAAGAACTTCATTGTCAACAAAGCATAATTATTAGATTGACAGACATATTTGCTTCTGAATCAGTAACAAATTTATTTACTTCTAGCGCAGAAGCATCAAAGTCTTCACCATCCATGAATTGTACTCTGACTGCAATATTCCTGGCAGATGTGCTGCGACTGGTGTAATTGACACTCAGAGGGTACACATACATAAGGTTCCTGAAAAAACACAAACCGTTGTACATTGAGTAAGACTTGACAAATTTATTGATGCAATCTGCCCCATCAATCAAAACATCTATTTATTTACAAAGAACTAAATGTGTCTTACTTGAATGTAAGATATGGTGCAAACACTTCTTTGGGTGCAAACTCCTCTATCTCTTTGGTTGGTCTTGCTTTCCCATCTGGATATGGATGTACCTGAAAAACAAGAGAATTTGGTGTTCTAACAAGACTGAATAAATACAACCCTCTTACTAGCTGAGTTTGGGGTCCATACTGTAAGTAACAGACCAATTTTTTCCCATTCAGATTTATCACCCAAGTGTGAAATGCACAGGCCATAAATCCAGGCAGAAAAAAACAAGGTTCAATAACTTACTCAGGCTGGTACAGTACAAACCAAAGAAACTAGGTTAGCAAATCTCTGAGCTCAAACAGAGGGGAAGATTTCATTTCAAACAAACCTTAAAGTTTGATGAGCCATACAGTGAATAAGTCCTGCAAAACTGACTTATCCTACACATACTAACTGATGTAATAAACCTCATTCAAACTGCCTCCCTTAAATGATGCCTCCTGTCAAATAGTCAATTGACTGAATGAAAGTTTTCCTCATTTTCAATAATTGTCTAATTGAAATTAGGTTAAAATGAGTGGAAGAATTTAGAAAATGTAGACAGGAAACAGTTGACTTTGCTTCCCAAAGATCTCAATGTTTCCCAGGGCCAGGCCAACTTTCAAGCCACCTCCAATCCAACTCTTTTCACATCCAATTGTGATCATCAGTTAACATTCGTGTGTGACAGTTTTGTTACCTTCTGATGTCATATGTTTGCAACTTTGCCTGCTTGTGGACTTTTGACCAGAAACAGTTTCATTGTTGGGACACATATGACCCTCAAGTAACCAATGAGATCCTGTACTTTTAATGCTTTAATACACAACAGTGATTAACATGTAACTTCTCCATTTAATATCTTTACCTTGTACAGTAAAAAAGTAATGAGAATACTCAAACTTATCAGGTAAAGTTGTTATCTTAATCTAACACCATTTTCTCATCACTAATTTGCATGGAAATGTAGAGCAGCCAGGAGGGAGAATCAACAATCAGATCTTGGGAGTTAAATCAGTGTACAAGTATAACGATACCTGATGTAACTCAGAAGTTAAGCAGTATGGTGGTTTGTCCCCAGGTGGGGAGATGTCAAGCTTCAAGGTTCCTTTGGAGAAAAAATAAAAATAAAATTGTCCGCTACCTTTAATGTACCTGCAAACTATCTTTAAATCAGAGCATCAAAGACCCCATCATATCCAGCGATGCCTGAAAAGTTCCAAAGACATTTCAAAAGATCCAAAGACATTCACATTATTAGAGACCTTGTAGGCAGCAGTAGACTGCAAGTAATGACACTGGCTTTTTTCTGAAACCCCTACGAGTATAGAAAGCCACATCACTTCAACAGCATTACCTGGTATGCACTTCAGACGCTTTAATACTGAAGAGGGTCTCTTGAGGTCAGCCAAGAATTTATACAAGTCATCATCTTTTAGTTTATCAGATTCCTGATCAAGATCAAAACATAATATTCCCAAATCATTTATAAATATAATTCCTAAAACTGTCATAGTTACATGTATGTTAAGTATCACAAAAAGAATGCCTTGTAATTTTATCCTATTATGCAGATTAGACTGGAAACTATTTCCCTAAAATGTCCCACACATACATCCTTAGAATTTTTGCACAAACCTTTTATCAAATTCTGAATAAATAGAATTGATTCACTAATTTGAACCTGTTACCAGTAAACTATGATTTAAATCCTATTTAAACCTTGGGAATGGCTGCTGTACAATTTTTTTTTTCATGGTATTTTGAAATGAAATAATTGTACAAGTTTTCAGAAGTACTTATAATAAAATGAGGCCAAAGTGGCCGGCTAAAGATGGCCGACCTGCTAGCCAATTTGACCAGCTACTGGCTCTTTCTGACAGCTCTGACATTACAATTCAAAACACTGACATATTCTTCCCCAAAACTAAGTGAAAGCCATGAAGTAAATTATAAATTGCCAGGTAATCTTTTCCTTTTCAACACAACTTGACGGACAATTTGAAAAACAGCACGAGAGCTATTATTTTAACCCTTCGACCTCTGGAAGACTAGGATCTAATTTCTCCTTACAATATCACCCCTGAATCAAACATTAAGGTAACGAGAATAAAGGAAATGATCACCAACTAAAGATGCTCTTTGTGCTTAAACAAGTTCTCCTAGTCAGCACCTTAGGAAAAATATTGGAAACAGTATGGAGAATATGCATACTAATGGTAGGGTGTACACTTGTATAGTGTTAAGAATTAGTTGCTACAGTTACCTGTTTAAAAAAGCTACTGACAGTAAGTGTAACAGGCCTGAAGTTTGTCAAGTCAGGAGTAACTTCAAATTCACTGATATCTGCCAGATGTATCGACTTGCGCGCCTCAATCACTGAACTTCTGCTGGAGGCACTTTCACTGTCCTTCCGTCGGCTGCCTCTTGGCACAACAGGTGGTGTTTCTGCCATTCCAGATTGCTGCTGCCAAAAGAAAATGAATCACTCACTAAGAGAGAACTTTTTACAGAGTTAAGCCACACTTTTGGAAACAGATTTCAAGATTTTTTCCCCACTAACAAACAAAGTTCATGCCATCTTTGTTTTTTAATACATTAAATTTTTTTACCATGATCATGGATTTTGTTTTACCTACATTGTCCAATTGCAGAATATCAATGAATGTAACAACATGAGCTCAAGAGCACTTAGGTGAAAAGAAGCATGATTAAATTTTTCAAGACAACCAAAGGACAAGGGCAATTTGTAGTCTTTAAAAAATTTACAAGTGCTTATTTACTCCAAATTGCACACAAAATCAAGTTATTACTTATTTAAAAAAATTATTAATAATTTAAATAAATGAAGTATCACAGAAAGTCAAGACAGACAATATTTTGACAGTGCACACACACTATTTGTAATTTCCACCTGTGTTGTAACTTTGCACTTGTGTTACACGAAAAATGCACTTGTTTTCAGCCGATCAGAAGCTTTTAATTCTTTCATGTACATTAAGAAATCACTTGTTCATAGGAAGTTGTATATATTAGACTAACATTTCTGAGAAAACCAGTCAAGTTATTTTTTTTCTTTATGACATTAATTACCCTGCGCACAGAAGTCCCAGCCGAAGAAGTGTCTTTTTCTTGTGATGCAGGTGTTGGTGTTGCTGCCAATGGATCAATGCCATCTTTGTTTCCACTTATGATGTCTATAAGATGGATTGCAGTCCACGCAAAAGGCATGCGATACTTGCCAAGCCTCTCACAGTTTAACACAGCAGCTGTTCGCATTTTGTCTTTATGCTGGATTTGAAAAAAATATGGAAAAATGGAAGACTATCAGAGAAAGATGCAAACGGCATGCAATAATTGCCAAGCCCCTCACAGTTTAACACAGCAGCTGATCGCATTTTTTCTCTATGCTTGGTTTGAAAAAAAAATGGAAAATGTCGAGAGGGAACAAAATTATTTTTTGTTGGAAATACATTTAATAAACTGGCCTCAAATGCAGGAGAGCACACATGAACAAGTCTGGTCTGATTTAAAACAAAGTAAATTCCTGCTAACTCAGAGAAACCTTGCAATCTCCAACCTTATGCTGAAAGCTCACAATAGTTTTCATTTCCCTTCCGATCATTTCTTATGCAATTTTTACCCTCCATAACTCAAACCACATTTTTCGATACCAAACAAGGGATGGAATGGGAATGGGAATTTAGCAGGAGACACTCTGCGAGGTGACTCTTCTTATTCACAGTTTCCAGAGTGGGAAATAAATTGGACTCCCAGACCCTGACCTTGATTAAGAAGACATACATGTATGCATTGCAACCTGGACATCACCGGTTTTCCAAAACCATGTAAAAACAAGACAAAATGTAATCCTAAATTAACTTTCAACAATAAGCTGTAAATTGCTGTTAACCCTTTAACACCCAAGATCTCATTAGTAATTCTCCTTACTGTCTGCCATACAGTTCTTAAGATGTTAGTTTAGAGAATTTAGTATTGGATCTACTTATAATCCCTTCACTGATATATTTCTTTATTCCCATCACTTGTCTGCTTGATATTGTATTGATATTGTAAGGAGAAATTCTGTCTTGATCAGCTTGCCAAAACTGACCTTAGGGTTTTCTGTGTCCTTCATATACGGCTCTGCACATTCACTAATGTCACCCTGTTGTAGAACTTTTTCAAGCTTGATGACAAGGAACACATCAGTGGAGGGGTAGGTAATGGAAAATACTGCTGAACGACTGAGAGTGGAAATATCCACACGAGGGTTCTGCTCCTCCACTAGCTTCTTGCACCATTCACTGTTCATGTCAAAGTAAAAATTCTCAGAAATCTGTCAAAAATAAACAAAGGGTTATATATGGTTAGAAAGCTTGTTTCAGTCATGAATGATCTACATGTAGTAAAATAAACAAAAGTTAAACTATTTTTCATACTGTTAAGAGGAAAGGCATGTTGAGACAAAGAGGCTCAACAGATGGTGTACTGGACTCTGCATGGGCTTCATACTTAGCTGGGTCTTTGTTCTTGAACAAGACACTTTACTATCATGATGCCTCTCTCCAACCAGAGTATACAAGGGTATCAGTGAGTATAAATGGGTACCAATAAGCTGTCAGGCAAAGCTGACAAAAGTTAATGCCTTAGGGTAACTTGGGATAGACCTATGCATCCCATCCAGAGGAAGTAGGAAAACTCCCAGTTGTTCCATATGACCCATATGACAGAAACTGACAGAGATAAGCTCCAGCTAGAAAGGTCACTTGGCCCAATTCCAGACTCAGGCCTGACAGGAAAAGGGTAAAGTGGCCTAAATATTGCAACTTACACCCTATCCCAGTTTTTAGACCATGACAGAATCAGGATTCCCCCTCCTCCCCCCCCCCCCCCCCATCCAAGGCAAGAGGGGGTTAAATTTAACCATCTTTCATCTTTAGTCTTTTCCAAGTACTAGAAATTTAAAATCTTTTCCAAGATTCAAATAATAAATCTTATAATTACTACTCTAAGTAAGAACCACACCTTTTTCTTGACTCTTCCGTCATAGAGAGCCATTGATGCAAATATTGGCTCCACCTCTAAATCAAGCCTGAAAAATAAAAAAGTTTCAAATAAAACCTCCTATTTCAAAGCTGATTGTTTTTGTTTCAAGTTGACCAGCCAATAAAAAAATATCAATGCGGCATAACAAATTTATCAAAATCTAAAAATTGCTAATATCACTTCAAAATGGCTTCAGAAAAAAAAGTGTTGCTAGGCAAAATATTAAACAAAAATACAAAGGAAGTCATCTGTTTCAAATCTTTAGCAAAAGTACAATGATATTTTAATTCAATTTCTGAGACTTTCTGGAATAAAATTCACAATAATTGTAAAGCCCTTAAAGAGTTGAGTGAAGTTATGCTTTAGTATGGCTTCTATACACTTACTTTAGTTGAAGACATTTAATCAGAATTCTTTGTCCAAAATGCTCTTGAGGGATGGTGGCAGGAATCCTCTTTTCTATTCCTTCTTCCTAAGAAAAAAAGGAAATTAAAAACAGGGTAAAGTAGCAAGTATTACAAAAAAAAAAAAAACTTTTATGGGTGAAAAAGGAATTTTTCAATAATGAGCCAAATAAAATGTAACCCTCCATGGGAAAACAGACACTAATGCTTTTCTGTTAAACAGTCTAAAAAACAGTTTTAAATGGATACTAAATGGCTAACTCAAGCATTTAAACAGTTTCCATAACCACTTAAACGGAGAGCAAAAAATTTTAAAAGTTGACCAAAGTCCAAAAACGGATAGCTTAAACCAAGAAACAATTGACCAAAATTGACTAACAGAGAGCTAAAAATCAATGTTACACAGTTGTGGTTGAGCCTGCAGAAAAACTCTCCAAGTGACGACAGATAATTATCTTTATAGTGAGAAATTGAGCATTTTTGATAATCGTTTGAAAAATAATACCAAGGATATACAGTACTTGAGCATTTTATTTCTGGGTAAGCTACTGCTGTTTTTGAGTGACATTCATGAAATAAGCACAATTTACCAAGAATGGTTTCACTACCAAATATCCTGAATGGTTATTGCAAGAAACTCATAATTTTCTACTTTGTTTATTTTTATTATTATTGAAAATGAACTTCATGTTTTTTGAAAAAAAAGCAAATCACAATTCTCAATTTGGATTAGGGACTGTTGTGAGCAGTTTTAACACACAGTAAGAAGCACTTTCTACTAGTTTCACTGTCTTCCATGTGCATGTATCACCTATGGGAGATGTTAGGAGAGCATAAGCCAAAATTGAAGATCCCATGTGTAAACTTAAAGAAAGTGCATTCTGTATCAGTTAATTTACTCCAAGTATGTTTGTATCACTCACTGAATACATTTATAAACCTCTTTCTTAATTAAACATATTTTTCATCTGTAAATAGAATAAAATAGATGATAACTTTGAGCTCAGTAAAGATTATAAAGACGTTTTTCATCTTTTCATAAGCGCAGGACATAGCAAAAAATTCTGAGACCCTATGAGGAACCAGAATTTTTTCTGTTTCTAAGGCTCTAAGTTGACCTCTACAATGAACATTGTCAGTTTCCTTAATATTCTCCCTTTTACAACTGAGCCAATGACTATTAGAAGCAATGATCTATTTTCTCTTGATACCTGCTGAATAGGATAAATAGAAAATAAGGAGTGCATCCTGTGAAGTTGACGGTCTTCTTGATTAGCCAAGTCCAACTCATCAGCTGGAGTGCGTTCAAGAAGAGATGGCAGAAGTGGATCAGGATTACTCATCTGCAAGTCAAATATGCTGTAAAAAAAGAAACCCACAATTATACAATTTTTCAAGTCATTTTGTTAGTATGTTTTGCTGTTGGTCAATATTATGCAATTTAAAATGTGGCACAGATTGAGACCAGACCAAAAAAACTAAGAGCCTCATACCCTACTCTTTAAGAAGAAGTTTGTTGGTCTGACAAAGGAGATGAACCATATTTACTCATCAAATAAGTACCACCTGACAACTCTTACAGCTCTATTCAACTGTTTGTACCTCAAGAGTAGAGCTTATTCAAGGGCAGAACTTATATAAGGATGGCCATAAAAAGTTGAATGCAATGAAAAAATGTTCTTTTTAATTCAACAGTATAATTATTTTCTCAGGGTGCAAAAATTGTATAACATACAGAAGGGTCTTCAATTTTGATCATCACCATTTGCTTGTCTGTCACTTCTCGATTCCATTTCCAGCAGAGTCTTCAATCAACCTCCTTTGCATTGACCCTTCCTGATCTGATGTCCAAAAGCTCTAGCTTAGGGGACTACCCTTCTTTGTGATTAAGTTTGTGCATTTGAAAAGCGTTGCATCCAAATCTCTCAAGAAATATAACCAAGTATGAAGCATACATGTAGCAGCTTCTGAAGGACCTCGGCACTTATCAGGGGGTAGCACATATTAACTTTTCTGTTCCAAATGCTCCACTCATTTGTAGGGGGGGGACTTACTCAGGGGTACTTATGCAAGTAAATGTGATATACTATACTCCTAAACCTAATGTAGTTTATATCCCTGCCATAAAAGGTGAAACCAGAAATTTACATCTTACCAGGTTTTAGATTCCAAAATTAATTATTAACCCAGCTGTTTAAAAGCCTTTTTCAAATGCACAAAAAATTTGACTGTGGATGCCATCATTTGAAATAAAATAGAGCTTGTTTATTGGCTCTTGTGATTCTTTGGTTTTGGTGACCTAACAATCAAACCAAGACCGTGATGGCAAGAAGTGTTAAAAAAAGATCTATAAGTAATAGACAGAACCATGGCTTTTGAAACCTTAAACATTTCTAGGCTGTCCTCTGCAAAACAGCAAATGAATATGAAATCATCAAAATTTGTGAGGTCTGAGAACAGAAACCTACACAGTGAATTAGTTAAGTTTTCATTTGGAATTCAACACTGCACTTCCTTGTCATGCTGAAGTTGAGGTGTGCCACATTAAAAGACGACAAACACATCTACCACTCGCAAAATTCTAAATTAATTCTTTTTTAAAGATTGATGGTTTCCTTTGCATTGCTGTCATGACTGCTTAAGGTCACTCCTAGTCTTTGAGACTCAATTCAAAACACTTCAAATGAAAATAGTATACACAAACTAACCTTGATGCCCAGCTACCTCGAGGTAACTCATCCTGTCCTTTGCCTGACTGCTGTGATACTTTTTGCTGTGCTTCACTCTTTCCCTATAATATGAAAGAAACAAGCAAAGATCATTAATTTAACATTTACAGCTCTCTGCATTTAACTGTCTCCCAGGATAAAACTAACATTCCACACAGTGATATTCACACCATGTTCTTTTAGTTTCTGCAAACAAATACCACTAAATTTTATTACCTGATCTGCAAGTTTTCCTTTTTCATCAATTTCATAAAGCTGGGTAGGAAGTGTTCTCACAAAGCTGGACGTTCGTGCTATTCTACGCCTTGAATCTGGTCTTCCTTCATCAGAACAACGGAACTGATACCTGTTTTAAACAGAACACCAAGTTTTGATCTGAAATGCGCCAATTGGCTGGACAAGTTCAAAGGTGAATAGTAAGCACTATTAGCCTCCAAGCAGCCAAAGACACAAGAAGAGTTTAATTTCCGACCATTTTTAACTAATTTTTGAAATTCTCCAAATAATACACTAATATTTTGGTATCTGTATGGTGTATACTAAAATAGTTATTCACCTCAGTGTCATTGAGAGAGGTGGATATTAACTGAAACACTTTGCAGCTTGGTAAATATCCCCCACTATTCACCTCTAATTTGGTGAATTATTGTTAATTGTTGTGGAGGATTAGTAAATTTTCATTGTGCAATTACAGTCAACATACTGCTAAATGAATAAAGGGGGAAAGTTTCTAAAGAAACTGTGGTGCTGTGTCGGTGGGAGAGGATAGCAGGTAATTGAGTGTTAACAACTGAGTTGAAAATGTAAATTGGCCACCATAAAGGTTGAAAAAGCTGACGTTTCGAGCGTTAGACCCTTCACTCTTAAGGTTTAAGCTCAAAACGTCAGCTTTTTTATCCTTTACAGTGGCCAATTTACATTTTCAACTCAGTTGTTAACACTAAATTACCCAACATACTGAAAGTTGCTTAAAACATCTACACCTATGGTCACATTATGGAAAACAAACAATTACTCCAACTAATTCTATTGCAGAATAGGACAAGAAACTTTCTTTTCTTTTCAACTAACTTTAACTTTTTTTGCTAAACAGGTGTCAATCCTGTAGGAGGCAGTTGTGCCTGAAAAAGGGGCCTGAAGATGAAAACCCAAGCATGAGAGTATGTTTAAGGCTAAACAGACAGAGAAAAGAACTCTTAGACACATAGGCAGTAGTAGAATACCAGTTAGCAGCTTTTATTTTTGACCATTTAACTCCCAGATCAAATTTATTATTCTCCTTGCTGTCAACCATACAATTCTTATAAAGTTAGTTCAGAGAATTTAGTATCAGATCAACTAATTATTCCCAAATTGATATTTTTCTTCATTCTTGTCACTTCTCTGGTTCATATTGTATTGATATTGTAAGGAGAAATTCTGTCTTGGTCACTCATGGGAGTTAAAGGGTTAAATATTAGCTTGTAAATCTAGAAGTATGTGTAAAAGTCAAAGCACACTTAGTTTCAAATTATTTTGAACCAAGACTTGTTTCAAAACAAAGAAAAGAATGCACACACATCTTACCTTCGATTAACTATCGCCCAATCTGAAGTGTAACAATGAATGCAGTCTTTTAGTAGTGGATTGTTCTCAGCTCTGCAGAGGAAAGAGAGACACATTATTGTAAGTGACAGTAAGAATGAGATATTGTGAATTTTAATATTCATTTTATATATTTCAAATCATCTGTTAGATTATAATAATGATTAATATATAGCACACAAGTGAATAATGCTGTTTGTGCACACTGATGTACTAAATCAGGAAATTGTATAGCAAGTATTATTCACTTTCAAGCAGCTGAAGAAACAAAATTGTGCATCAACAGTTTAATTTCCAATCTTTTTCAGTATATTGAAAGAAATAATTAAAAGTAATGTTTTGGTATCCGTGTGGTATATACTAAAACAATTATACACCTCAGTGTAAATGAAAGTGGTGCTTATTTACCTTGCCTCATCACACATAGGTAAATATTCACTGCTATTTACTTCCATCTTGGTCAATAATTGTTAAATAAAACATTATAATGACACTTTTATTTATCGAAATATTTATGCCAAAACAGGTGCTCAAACACTAGCTAATACAATGTACATGTACACTATAGGTGTCTAGGATTAATGTCAGTAACCAAGCAATTGCACACCTGCGTGTACCCCTCCAATAACCCAACTTTAACCCCAACTTGTTATCAGTTGACTGTTGTTGAACTAGGGGAGGGGTAGGTAGGTGCATAGTTTCTCAGATACTGACATTGATCTGGTGTCATAGGTCAGAATGTCTTGAAAGTAGCAAATATTGACTCCATCTGTAGGGAAAAGGCTACCCAAGATTACCGTTGATGCATGGACTTCTGGTCCAGACGTCCAGGTTGAAGACCTCCCCTGGGTCATTTTGTTAAGTTTTTTGGCCAGACAGTTTACTCTCAAAGAACTTACCATTTACTCACTCAAAAATTGCAGTTTATGGAAGATCTTGCCGTATTTACGGGCATAAATCTCCATCCAGGACTTTAAATGGGCACAGAAATTATAGGGGATACCCTTGCATTTGAATGGCATCCAATCTAGGGGGGGGGGGGGGAAAGGGTTACCTTAATACTCCTAATCAAAACTATAACAAAATTCTCAAATGTGATTGGTTATCACCAGCCTGATTTGAGCACTAATAGGACAGTGTGTGCAATTCATGCTTGTAATTGGACAGTGTATTAGAACATTGTAAGTAGACGGAACATGTCATGTGTGCACGCTGTTATCTTACCCTTTGCCAAGTTAACCATTGTTTTTTTTTCTTTTTTAAATTTGTTATAGTTTTGATTAATTGGTAACAGGACTTCATGTCATCCAATTCTGACTGTAATCATTCTTGTGATTAGAGATGGAATTGGACTCCGCTCAGTCCTATTACCATCATTAACTGCTTCATGTTAAGGAAAGACGGAGAAGCTCAGACTGGTTAGGCCTCTCAGCTTGAGTACAGACTTAACCTACTTCATACAACAATACCATTACCCAGTATCCTTGGGAAAGCATGGCTTGACAGTGCGACATTGTCTTGGAATTGTGGTCACTTCTATGTCATCGTCAGGGAACTCGAGCATCTTACTCTTTGGGTCATTTTCATTGAAAGGTTGATTTTGCAACAAAAGATCTTCAAAGTCAGGAGGTTCCACAACTTCATTTAGAGGAGTCTGGAATAACAAGAAGTGATGAAACATTTCACATTTTCAATCATTTTTTGCTGGATTTAACTGATAGATTCTATGTTCCCGCACATGCATCTGCACATACAAGGCGCACACTAGGCACCAATGTTTTTACCACATTCTGACATCTTCTGCTATCTAGTACCAAACAGTCGCAGAGAAACACAGAATCTAGTTTTAAGATATTTAGGACTGTATCCCACATAAAAACATCTCTTTAAGGATTATTTGATTCATCTAACTGGTACATCTCCTTTATTCTTGTTACTTTAACCCTTTAAACTCTAAGAGTGATCAGCATCTAATTTCCCCTGACCATATCACCACTGAATCACAAATTAAGGTCATGAGAATAAAGGAAATGATCACCAACTAAAGAAACTCTAGATTGTTAGACAAATTCTCCTTGTTAGCACCTTAGTAAATGTACAGAGAACTGTATGAAGAATATGAATACTGATGTTATGACTTAGATACTAAAAATTTCTTGACTGTGCTCTTATAAGAGTGACTAGCATCTAATTTCTCCCTACAATCACACCTCTGAATCAAACATCAAGGAAATGAGGATAAGGAAATGATCACAAACTAAAGAAACTCTTGATTGTTAAACAAATTCTCCTTGCCAGCACCTTAGGAAATGTACAGAGAACAGTATGGAGAATATAAATACTGATGTTAGGGTGTAAAGGGTTGAAGATTGATTCCTACTGTAGGGAGAAATTTGGTGCTAATCACTTAAAAGAGTCACAGGATAGAACAAGTGGACAGTAGCATTACTAGGTTAGAGAATTCTCAGTGATGGGATTTTTGAGGCTTAACAAAGCATTTAAGGTATCAGCCTGTAAGGACTGGGAGCCAAAAATAGTTGCCCCACCCCCTGTGGGTGGTGTCTGTCTAGTTTGTTCTAACCATTTGTGAGAAATAAATAAGCCTAAGCAATTACAGTACAGTTTTATTTATGACTTCTGAACTAGGCTACATCAGTGATGAAGGATGTACTTGGGTGGTCCTGATACATTTTGGAAGCTTGAAGATAACTGAAATACTACTAGAGCCACTCTGCTGAAACTTAAGCAAGTTTAGTCTCCAAACTTCCCAGAAAGAAATATGATGATTTGAATCAGTTGTTGAGTTGCATTTACGTCCATTTGACAAAAACTTTGAAACCAGCCTGACTTACTGCATCAGCACTAAATAAAAATCAAAAATCAAGGAGATCTACATGCATACTGCCAAATCACTTCGATTCGACTAAACATCCAGTTGATTACTAAAAAAAAAATTGAAATTGTACATTTGACAGATCGATGTGCGGCCTCATATGCAGCTCTCCATGACTATTTTAGCCAACACCGAATAAATTTGTTTTTTATCTTCTCCAGTACTTTCCAGAATTCACCATCGGAATTTCTATAAACGGATTAAAAATAGCTGGTGCGATCGAAGTACATAGTTTCCTTCACATGACAAGCACGTTATCCGATGCCTGTTAACGCCGTATTTGGGAGCTCCATGGACAATCGTGATGCTTAATCTATAGTGATCTTTCAATTATGAAAGGATCAAGAGTATAATTTGAGCAGTTAACTCACCGTTCCGGCCGCAAGATGAATAAAGGAACTCGAAGTTGACGATTGTGACCTTGTACTTGATTGAGTGCTGAAAGTCGCCGATCCATTACGCCGAAATCTGGAATAAAATATGAACACATATCACACCAAAATGTACAAATTACACAACTTTACTCAAAGGAAAGTTACTTACTTGTTTAGTTTTTGTGCAAACGCTCTCGTAGTCGAGCCGGCAGACAAGCTTTGACTGCCAGAGGCAGCCATTTTCGACACCTCGGGCTTTAGTAGCTCCCAGTTCTCCCAGCGAGAAAAATATCTCGTCTTACTTTGGCATTCTAGTTCCAGTTCAGTTCCGGCAATTTCCCTGGTCCGATTGTAAGCTCGATTGCTAATATTTTGTCTAAGCAGAAAATCTTTCGATATGTCTTCTGGCTGTGATCACTACATTAGACGCTGTTCTTTATTGGTGAGTAATCATCTCCCCATTAGGATTAAACTGAAATCTTCCATGTTTACACTGTTCTTCCCTGCAATTTATCAATCAATTTTGCACTGATTAGTTTCATATTCAGTTAGACCAAACTACACGTCACCAAGTTAAATGATATTGTTGTCTCATGTACCAAGCTCTAAGCACGTGCAAATATCACTATTTTCATTTTGCTGCATCATTTTTTCGTGTCATTTACCAAACATCGATCTTACATTAGTGAACATCTATTTCTTTGACACAACGTTATTTTGAGTACTGTTACTAGGATATCCAACGCCATTTGCAATTGGGCGACGGTCAGTTTAAAATTTAAATTCTTCTGAAGCTCACGATTTTATTTTACAGTAATTATCTACATAATTTCTAATCTATGATATGGGAAAAACACGGAAGAAAATAACTTTTCGTCTTGTTGAAAAATCTCTTGCAGTGCAATTGTTGTTTGTTTTCTCACGGTATTTTACGTTTTCAATCATCACTCAGCTTGGGATTTTCGCACTTAAATCTTTATTAAAAAATAGTTGAAGTGGCTCAAATACAAGGGGAAATGTTCCGCGTTCTCAACGTACCTACCATTTTGAACAATGTTGTAAATTGGCCTAGTTATTTCTCATCGAGTTGTGGTACCTTTCTGGACACAAAAGTTTATCTTGGTAACACTGTAGCTCCTCAGAAACATCCTTAACCCTTTATTCCCTAACATCAGTATGCATATTCTCCATACCTTTCTCTATACATTTCCAAAAGTGCTAACAAGGAGAATTTGATTAACTTTTTAGAGCCTCTTTAGTTGGTGATCATTTCCTTTATTCTCCTGACCTCAATGTTTGATGCAAGTCTGACAATGTAAGGAGAAATTTAAAGCCAGTTATGGTCACTCCAAGGGGTTAATTGATTGACTGTAAAGGAGGATCTAATTTCTTTTTAGAGTTACAGACATCTACTTGTCTGCACTAGCATTGCTATGGTATCATGTTGCATTGAAGAAAAAGCTTCTATTGTTTGCATGACAATTGGGATTTAAAGTGAACCATGATGAAGAAAATAATTTAAAAATTGTTGTTTTATTTGTCCATCACACAATAGTTGTTTTGAAACATTTAAGGGAGGAGATTTTGAGCATTCTTAATTATTTGTTTTAAATATAAGGTGCTGCAATTCTTCATTCATGTGAAAGGGTCAGGGGTACCATAATTTCTGGCCGATAACCCGCGGGTAATCTGTTAATTTTTACACAAACAGTTGTTGGTGCATTATATGGGTTATAGGAAGGTGCAGGTAATACAATAATTTTTTAAGCTTCCAGTGTAGTTTAAAACTATAAACAGGAAAAAAAACAGGTTATGAGATCCACTACAGATACTCTTAAAAAAAATTGTACAATAACTCATCTATTTCACGCAGATTGCTCATTAAAATAAGACTTAATTGCTCTCGAAGAAAGTCAATGCAAATCAAAAACATACAAAACTTGATAAGATAGCTTTTATCTTGTTCGTACACTTACTTTCTTACCTTGTCAATTTCATAGCTTGTTTCTTTGTTTAGTTCAAAAAACAATTCTCACTTACATGGGAAGTGAACTTGAAAATAAAAGAATTCAAGTATTATGAAAAAACTGGCTTCAGGGTAATTCACACAGAAAATTATGCCAACATGTTCATTTCATAATTAAATACCACAACAGAATATTCAACGCATCAGTGAAATTTTCTTAGCTAGCACTGCCCTGAGCTAAGGAGTATTTGGTAAAATTTCCACACAGCCCCATACTGTTGTAAAACAAATCTGTTTTCCCAATGCCAATGTATTGTTTTTTTCATTATTTTCTATATCTAAGAACTGAATGCATAATGTAGTATGGGGCTATGCAGAAATTTTGCCGAGTATTTTCCTGTTTCAAGATTTCTCCGACTTAGTAGATCTCGAGATATCAATTTTTTTTTAGAACAGATTTTTACAATTGGTATCATTCTCAATGAAACAGCGAAGACAAAAAGTGTGAAAATTTATTAATTGCATGCTAAAGAATATCATGTCAACAAAAACAATGAAGGGACTTTGTGTGAGTCAACAATTTTCTTTTGTTTTTGGGTGCAGGTTATCTGCCAGTGTGGGTAATCTGTGGAAATTTTTTTCTCGTTATTTCAAAAATTGACCAATGCGGCAAATCTGTGGCACAGGTAAATGGACAGAAATTACAGTAATCCTATACCTTTATTTGTTACTTCTAAAATCTTGAGTTTATTAAACCTTTACCTCCCATGAGTGACCAAGACAGAATTTCTCCTTGCAGTATCAATACAATATCAAGCAGACAAGTGATGAGAAAATAGAAAAATATAAATTAGTGGATTATATCTTGATCCAACACCAAATTCTCCAAACCAACATGACAAGAACTGTATGGCAGACAGCAAGGAGAAGTAGTAGTGAGATCATGGGAGTTAGAGAGATAAAATGAAATAAGAATTACATTTATTTAATATTTTATTATTGTGCTTGTTTTCACAGGCCCCTTGTTGTAAAAAATACTACAACTGCAGGTTGTGTCATAACGATAAGGAGAGTCATGAACTGGACAGGAAAACTGTAGAAGCTATCAAGTGCCTTCAGTGTGATTCTTCTCAAGAGGTAGAATAACTAATGAGCTGGGATTTAAACTAGATTTTATTTAAAGTAGCCATTTTGCATAAAATGATCTCCAGAAATCAATTTTTATCCCAAACTGTTGTGCAATATCAATTGTATGTGGGATTGTGGAAGTGTAGAAACAGAGAAGTTTAACCTGATTTTTTTTTTTTTGCCTCCTTTCAACAGCCTCCCTTATCCCAAAAATTAAAAACAACCTTGCAATGCACTGTTACATTACAGCTTCAAGATTTATAAGTACTACTTCAGGCACTAAACTGATTTGTTTATATTAGTATTCATTCTGGCAATGCTGGAGTTTTTTTGATTAAAAAAAGTGGTTCTGATTTAAAGATGGCAAAACCATGATAGTGCATTGATGGCATTATACAATGTAGGAGAAAATACATTCTTGTATTGGGTGGAGTAACAAAGAGAGGGCAGTCATTTACATTTCCTTTCAATCCGCTACCAACATGTCTAAAGGTGTATAAAATTATAGTTCAATTTATCAGACTCAGTGCAATATTCCTAGACCAATCAAAATAAAGAAAAATCAAAGCAATCCTGGATTACTTTCAAAACTAAATTGACCCTGTAAACCCCAAGAGTGATCAGCTTCTAATTTCTCCTTACAATCTCACTCCCAAATCAAACACTAAGGTCACAAGAATCAAGGAAATGATCACCAACATATAAAGCTCTTGATTATTACACAAATTCTCCCTGTCAGCACTTCAGGAAATGTATAGAGAACAGTATGGAGAATATGCATACTGATTTTAAGATGTAACGGGTTAAAAATTACTCTACACTGTATATACTAGGCGCATGAGACTGTGGGTATGTTCCAGTAGGCACCAGTTTCCTGCAAAGTTTGCCAGCTATGAGAAAAGTGATTAGTGGGAAAGGTTGCAAAAAAATTGAGAGCAAAATTTTGTTACCAAATCTTTGTTTGAGCAGATCTATATATAAAATTATGTAGTTCTAATCTTCAACATAATCTTTAATGTAGATGAATATGGAGGGTTAGTTTCTTTTATTAGAGTGCTGTGCCAGTAGGAGAGTATAAATTGACTACTGTAGTATATAAATGTATTTCTTCAGATACAACTCTGAGACAGACAGACTGACTGATTTCATTTTCTAACCAAAGGTCAGATCCCACTGTAAAGACTGTGGGATAAAATTTGGACGATACTATTGTGAGATCTGCCGCTTGTTTGATGATACAGAGAAGGGGCAGTTTCACTGCAGTGGTTGTGGAATTTGCAGGTATTGTCATTTTTATGTTAACAAATACTAACACTGTTAGTAAATGAAGTGTTTTTGATATGATTGTGGAAAAGATACAATGCAGTGAGTTATTGAAGGAGAACTATAGTCCACACCACTGAAAAGTAATTTATCTAAAAATTAACTTTGTACCAATCACCACCGCTGAAAAGCTTATCTATAAATTTAATTTGTACCATGTGTTAAGATTCCAAAGAGTTCTGGTAACACAGCCATTTGGAAGTTGTTTTAGATGTACCAGTACTTCAAGTTCAAAAATGGGTGCTGCCCTTTTGAAAACAACCTCTTCCAGTAAGCTAGCTACACATATGTGATGTCCCAGAACTGGTTCACAAACAGAAGCTGCTCTAGTTCTATTAATTCTTGTCATTTGCCTGCTTGATATTGTATTGATACTGTGGGGAGAGATTCGGTCTTGGTCACTCATGAGAATGAGGAAAAAAATTTAATATCAATTAGGGAATTGTAAATTGATCCAATACCAAATTCTCCAAACTAACATCACAAGAACTTCAAGCAGACAGTAAGGAGAATTACTGATGAGATCTTGGGAGTTAAAGGGTTAATTGTTCTTAGATCTCCATTGGAAACAAATTATTGAGGTTGCCATCAGAAGCTGCTAGGGGACAGAAACTCAACTTTCAATGCACTTGTATTATTAACCAGTAATCCCTGCATAATCTTTATTATGATATGTAATACATCAGACTGACTTAAGAAATCTTCACATGGCAGAGTTGGTGGAAAAGAGAACTTCTTCCATTGCGATCAATGTGACATGTGCCTTGGAATTCAGCTGAAGGACTCGCATAAGGTGAGTTTACTGTGGCACTCTGTTAAACCATTACCGTCGAACACCA